CGGCCTTAAGCGTTAATTAATTCTCACAGTATCCACTATTGTTGAAATCATTCCTGTGTCGTGTAAAATGTAAGCAAATGGATTGAGTGGATTTTAATCAACGAGTTTGGCTCTTGGATGTTTATCTATGATAAAGTTATTGATCTGAATTTGACAAAAATCCGCTCTGTCTCGGTTCAAATCACACCGAAGGAGTCATGCTTGGCGCTTTCTTCTTCCATAACGCCCACAGTCAAGTTAGATCTTTTTCTCTGCTCACCTTAACTTTCTCTTTAAAATGAAAATGTCTCTACATGAGTCTGTGAACAAGACCGTGAAGACACACGATATTACTTCGTAATTAGTTCGTGAATCGACGGAACTACTAGAAAAGTTAACACTTCTAATGAAGTTTCGTTTCAGACTTGCAAATTTCTATGAGTAATTTACCAGATTCCGTAATTATGCAAGCACAGCTAAGGTCACCTGACGCAGATTCATGGTGACTTTATGTTACTTTCTGCAATGGATTAAAATTGTTAACTTGTAAATATATATTATTTTCCCATTTATTTCGTATCATAATGATTATTTTGCATTCAGGGAATGAAGTTCCGTTTCATAGACAACATGAATGAGCTAAGGTGTAGGTCACGCTTCATATATAAATAATTTTCTTGTGTAATGGCTTAGTGAGAGAAGCACGACAACGAGGCCAGAAGAGGCTTTTAATTAGAGAGCTCTGTACTTGCATATATGAGATAAACTGTATTTTTTCCCTAGTTGACCCTGTCAAGATAACTGTAGCTAGCCGTAAAAGCTGACCGGTTTTTGACGCCAGTCAGAAACGCTACAGTATTACTCTTGAGGAATGACGGTGCTCGTCATGAAAGGACCCTGGGATTTAGAGAGTTTAAGCGTTAGCAAAATATGACTGTGTTCGATAAAACGCGAATGGGGCAAATACCATTTGAAAACGTTTGTCAAGTCTCGTAATCTTTAAAAGCAGAGAAAAATAAATCTGTAAAATTTTCAAAAGACCGAAAGTGTTTCAAATTAGAGGATGTAGAAACTGATCTGATACAACGCCAACTCTCAACTACTTACCTACTCATGGAAAATACTTCATGACCCCATAATTTTTATACAGATGATACGTTTTTGAAAATTGAAGTGCGTTTTAATGTTCACCTAATCAAAACAGGAAAGGATTAAAATAGCGTGTCAAAGTTCTTGGTAGAATAGGATGACATAATTCTCGGTTAAACAGAAAGTCTATGATGTCATACCACAGGGACTTTCCCAATGAGTCATCAATTTAGTATTGTCTCCAGCTCATTAGACAGTCATACGATCCCTCTCAACCAATCAGCAAACTTGTCAGTCAGCTTATAATGGTTTAGCATTTCAGGTTCTTTCACATTTCATGTCGAGTTTCGAGTCTTGGTATTTGCTGTTGCATTGTGGATCTTTTTAAAAGTGTGTAGGATAAAGATGGCTAATATACCTAAGGACCCAACACCACTTGCAATCGGAAAGCAATATATATCATCGTCCTAAACCAGATGAGCCCACGACATATCAGCGGCATCCTGTAAGGGTATCCGCAGGTTACAACGTGACTTCCGCTTATTCTTCTTGAAGCGTATTTTCAGTGTACTCATGGAATAGGAAGTTGGCGTAGTGCGTTTGAGCCAGTTTCTGGCAGATTTGAACAGAAAAGCGGGTCTTTTGTTGGAATGTATTGACATTTTGATCGATGGCGCTGTTAACGAAATGTTTGGCTGGTTCGTAAGTTGTCGACCTGGTTTCGGTCGATCTGATTGATTGACAACACCCCTAGGGCAATACATATCATCGTCCCAAACCAGATGAACCCATGACACGTCAGCGGAATCGTAGTGGAAGTCTTCTATGTTTCTACTCGTTTCCGGCGAATCAAGAGACCGTGACCTGTGTGACTGACAATAAAGCGTCGTGTTCTTCAATATTTTATTGCGAAAGTATTCTTCCCATTACTTGTACAAACTAATTTCTGTCAAGATCACATATTTAAGAAAAAATCTAGCCATTATAAAGGCGTTAAAAGGAGGGTCGACACTTAAATATGACCGGCCTAATAGTTTCGGTCGATGTTATCCTCTGACCTCGCTATCATCGACCAAAAGCAGATTCAGGTCAAAGATCATTTGCATAACTTTGCACTGTAAAATCTTTCGATTGGAACAAACATACAGTTCTTTTCTGTTTGTAATAAATTATCTTTACGTTTTATTTGACCATGATCTCTTGGTTTTTGTTCAACATCTTATTTGCTACTAATAAATATATTTGCCAAGGGTGGTCCAGTTAATATTTAACACTCATGCATTTATGTTTTGCGGCTCGCGGGTAAATATTTATGGAAATCTAAATGTTTGTTAGAAGAACAAACATGGCTGATAACAGTACACCTTGGGCTTCAAGATGGACCGTACAGTTTGACCCTTATTCCGGGTATGTTAACGATGAAAGCAGCGCTGACGAACTCATAAAACAGTACGAGATAGCTACGACGACACGCTTCACTGTATTTAAACAAACAGGAGAATTTTCAAATTGCAGTAGGCTGGGTAAGTAAGCTCACATGTAAAGATTTACAAAACAAACCATACTGACAGTAAAGTAAAGTGAAGTATAACTTTATTTAGACACTATAGGTATTTAAAGCCAGGGGCGTGTGAGATTGTGTTATTAACATGAAATATAGATAAATCAAAATAAAAAAAGGGATTTAACTTTTTTCCAATAATTATTGATATCTTAAGAATACATGTACACATCATTATTCTTCGGTTTACACTGGTCAGTTAGACTTTCTAAATTAAAATGTAATTAAAATTCAACTTAGCTTTAAGTGTAAATTTACTGTGAGCCTGCAGCAAGAGTTGGCAAGAAATGCTTAATTAATTAAATCAAGCTTAAAGTGTCAAAACCCTACTCAGTGCTATTGACACACAGCTGCCAGCATCCCCATCCATTACACCAGTCCTTGGGCTACATCTGGGTGGGGCAGGCTTGATTTTCAGGCCCTCCATTTTAAGCACATGTGTACATATGTACTTATGTGTTTGTGTACATGTATCGTACTGCTAACTTACCTTGGTTCCTCTTCTCACATAAAAACATAAGAGTAAAAGAAAATGCAGATAAAAATGCTAAGAACCACCGTATACTATGGGCTGACTCACAGGAGATGACAGGATGCAGACTAAGTTTTGATGGCATCCCATTCCAAATTGTGGGGGTCAGAGTTTTAGAATGCCAAAATGGGCCAGACAGAAATAAGGCACTCAAAAGGAAGGAGGCTCAAAAGAGACTACAAAAAGATGTAAGCATGCATAATAATTAACTAAATAAGAATGTAAACAAGATGATATTATTACAAAGGACTCCCAAAGAGGATATCATATATAGGGCATTACATAGTTATTGATTTACCTTCTCCTATTTGCTCTTAAGCTAACAAAGTGGTAAGTCCCAACTGATTTTTCTAAGCAAGTTGGTGAGCACTCACCTCTCCCTCAGGGCTAATAGCATGCAATAATGTATTCTTTTTTACCACTTGCAAGTAAAAGGACATATCACATTTTATTTGTTAAATAAGCAAAGTCGCAAAAGAGGACCACTGTGACTGCAGTTTACAAGGTAGGAATCAAGTACTATTTTAAAGGATACTTTTCATTACTTCTAAGTTTATTGATAACTTGACTATTCCCATATGACTGGTCTATCTAACAATCCAATAAATCTATTTGGTTTCAGAAGGAGAATGCTGATCACTGCTATAACAACACCAAACAGCGCTTTATAGTACAGGATACGAAGAAATGTGACTGTCCAGCAAAGATCCACCTAAGGAAAATAATCAAGTATCCTGAAAATAAGGTCAGTTTATTTTAATTATTGAATAAGGGTTCAGGGGGCACTATCATTAACATGAATGATCACTAGCCTAATAAAGGGTGCTTAATCCCAATGGGCCTTGTGTCACATGTAGGTGAAGTGGACATATGATAAGACAACCTGGACATTTCGTTGTGCAGAATTGAAACAGATTTACCTGTAATGGAAACAGAGTGAATATTTTAGAAACAAATTTTTCAAATATTATTTTAATTAAAACATTGTATCATTAGATTTCAGAGAACACAAAGAGTAGAAGGGAGACAATGTAAAAATTTCTGGGAACATCCCTAGAGTCAGAAAAGAAGGAAACAATAGCTACAGAGGAGTGTATTTACACATTACTTCCTAAACCTACGGATCACTTATTTCACCCCATGGGGAGGGTAAGTACTTGGCCATCAATTAAATTTTTTTTGGAATCAGAAAACTGAAGTTTGGCGGGGGATTTAAGGTGACTTAACTTAACACAGATCATCAGTCTACTGTAGACTGTGCTGCTTCCACTGTCATGTGGAATATATATAAAGAATGAATAAAGATTATACATTACAACAAAAGACCAATTAAATGTACTACATGTACAGCTTCTTTTAGCTACACTGGCAGTTATTCCTCAAACTCAATGTCAAGACTATAATATCACAGTTTTATCGGAGAGGGATTTCCACTAGCACTGTTTTAATGGAACGCTGTCGTGGACTTTTTAAATGGATTTTCTTAAAAAATACAGTGTTCAGTAATCTGTAATTATAACATTCTGTAACTATTACTGAAAAGCCCTACCAGAGGACTGCCGATAGTAATGTTGGTATAATTTACATTATTATTCATTCAAAATATTTCCCCGTTTCTGATAGGTTAAAACCACTTGCATATTTCATCATAACCAGCTGCTGTTGACCAAATTTGGAAAAAATTTTCTCATATTGAACCAATGACATCAAAAGCAGCCGGCTCCAGGTTATTGAACCGTTGACCAAGAAAACCTGGGGATGAGGCTGTGTAATTTTTTAAATGAATAAATAATAAAGCAATTATTCTTTCTTTCTTTGTTGTGTAATCTGCAGACTGCTGGGCTACTTCAGCCTATTGATGAAACACTGGTTAAAAAAATTCATGAGCTTGTTGGAAGTGGTGTTAATAGAGTTTCTGAAATGCAACGGCACCTGCATCATTATGTAAAGAAGGAACTTTTCACAGGCCAACAGCCTCCAGATCTAACCTACAGACGGTTCTTCCCAACAACCATGGATGTCAGGAACCACACGTATCGTGCCACAGTGGTGTGCAGACATTCACAATTGATCAAGAAAACCTTGACTTAAAAATCAAGAAGTGGAAAGAAGAAAGAGAAAGAAGAAGAAAGAAAGCCCAAATGATAATTTCTTTTTCAGGCCTTACTGCCTGACAAGTGATAGTGAGTCCTATCAACAACCACAGTCACTGAAGGAAGAAGACAGCACTGATGTAATTAAAATAAGTATAGGTGATCCATCCAACAACCTCCTCCTTGTTCACCAGACGAAGTGGCAAAGAGAGCTGCTTTTAAAGTATGGTGGTGAAATTTGCCTACTGGATGCAACATACAAAACTTCACGCTATGCCCTCCCCACATTCTTTCTGTGTGTGAAAACCAATGTAGATTACTGTGTTGTTGCTTCTTTTCTGGTTCAGCTGGAAAATGCAGATGCCATTAATGAAGCTCTACAGCTCATTAAGGACTGGAATCCAACATGGAACCCTGATTTCTTTTTGGTGGACTTCAGTGAGGCTGAGATCAATGCCATTGAAAGGCTGTTTCCAAGTAAGCATGTAAACATATACTGGTAAATATCGATAATAACCATTTTATAACCATTTTCTTTATTTCATGTGGGAAATATAGAGAGGCAATACTTATTAGGAATAAGTTCTTCCCCCCCCCGAAAAAAAAAAGGAAAAAAAATTCTTTCCTACAGGACTAACCTGAAAATAATGACAATAAATTATTGCCAATTACTAGTAATTCTCCAGACATTCCAAAATCATTACAGTGTTCATACTTGTCCTGGAAAACCTGGAAAGTCCCAGAATTTTATTTTGGCATATCCAGAACTGGAAAGTCCTGGAAAAAGGCTTCTGGTCCTAGAAAGTTTTGGAAATCTTTTAGAATCAATTAAAAAATAAGAAATGTGTAGATGATGGTAAGAATAATTAACATTGATATCTTGGAAGCAAAAGGGTCAATGTGTATTTTCCTGGAAAAAATCAATGTTACTATTACAACAATAATGATAATAATAAATTACTAGTATTATGATTATTATTAGCATTATCAGTATTATTTTTAGTAGTAGTAGTAGTAGTAATAGTATTATTGTTTCACTCCATGGCTCACAGGTCATGCTAAGCGCCCTTTGTTGGTAGTTTAATTTTTAGCATACAATAAGCCTTGTGTTAGCTGAAGTGGTTGGTAGCATGTATTCTCTTATCAGAGAGATTTTACAACTCAGTTTTATAACTGTTCCAGGCTGTCTTGTGTATATTTGTGATTTCCATTGAGAACAAGCGTGGGTACAGTGGATCAACAACTCAAAGAATGGCATTAACAAAGACAAGAAAGACAACCTCCTGAACAGTTTGCGAAACCTTGCAAGAACTTCCACAGAAGGGGACTTCAATTTAGCACTTAGAGATCTTCAAGACAGTGAACTGTGGAGGACCAATACAAGACTCCAAAAGTGGATGAACACAACATGGCTTCCCGAAAGACAGGCAAGTGTATCCCTTGCATACATTATAATAATTGTGGAATTAACCCTTATAAATTATCCAGCAACAATTCAAGATTTTTGGCTTAAACATTACACACATCTTATTATGTTCACTTAAAATCCTTGTCACTCTGACTTTAAACATCAAACAGGCCATCTCCTCAGATGATGTCATTTTGGGCCATTAATCATTCAGCATGAGTCTAAGATGAGTCCAAGATGCTCTTACAAGGAGATCCGCAAGGTGAAAATCAGATTACATGAAGTTTATATTCATGAAGTTTACTTGGACACTTTGTTTCTATTGGCACCCAGGTAAAATGTTAGGTGGGATTTAGGCGGGATCCCGGCAATTCCACCCAGGATCCCAGGTGGGAAAGGCGGGATCCCGCCTTAGGTGGTGGGATCCCACCTTTCCCACCTGGGATGAAAATTTGATCCCACCTGGGATCCCATATTTAATGCGGGATTCCTGCATCCCACCCGGGATCTTAGGTGGGACTTATGCATTCTACCCGGGATCCTGGTCAGGATTTACATATCCCACCTGGGATTCTTTATCCCACCAACGAAAATATTGTTTTACTGTTTTTATTCTTACAAAACATTTTTGTGAGAGTTCCAATACTTATGGATCATCCACACACTCCGCAAATATTTGGCATGCGGACAAGACAGAGGTGGTCACTGTTCCCTTCGAGAAAAGACACCTTTTAAATCACTTCTTCGATTTGCTTTATTTGAAACTCTGATCTGAAAATATTTTTAAAACAAGACTTGTTAGTAGTGAGAAGTGCAAACCGAGTTTCTTTTCATAACTTAATTTCTTAAATGTCCCAATCACTGGACCTCCTAAAAAATATTACTTCTTTATATTTTTGGTGCAAAATACAATTCCTTCTTTACATACAAATGAAAAGTACAAGTCACAGTTCAATAATAACAGCTCTAAAGTTTACTTGTTGTTCTTCTCTGAGTCAGCGATCAACAAAATTATTCTACATCTTGTAGGTCTGGTATAAAATTTTACTTGTAGTATAAAATGACAATCTTGTATCTTCGTCCTCTCCACCCATTTCCAAGCTCGGGAACGCTTCGGACTGTGCATAACCATTTGCAGACGAGAATTCCAATGCACCTCTGTAATCGCATGTAGTTGCTTCTGTCTCTAGTGCAAATGTTTTCTCCGTTATGAGACGCACTTGGCTCTGTTGGCACCACTGCTAGTTCAGTGGAAAGACCGACGGTAAAGTTTCCGTACAGCCCCATATTATTGTAAAACAAATCTGTTTTCCCAATGGAAATGTATTGTTTTTGTCATTGTTTTCTCTATTCAAGAACTGAATGCATAATGTAGTATGGGGCTGTGCGGAAATTTTACCCTCACCTTCGCCGTGAACATAACTCAAGTGGGTTTTGAGTCTTTCTTTCCTCGAAAACTTTCGGCCACAAATCGTGCATTCTTGTTCGATTCTCGTCGATTATTTCTACATAGAGTGAATTCACATCATTATTTATGTCATCATCAAAACATGAATCCAAGGTATCCACCATCCAAGAGAGGAGAACCGGTCAGAAGAGACAGAATAATGTTGCGCTCTTCTCTTGAGACTGCAATGGGTCAAGCCAGCGGATTCTCTTTGCTAAAAGTCCACGTGATCATGCCCGTAATCGGAAACAAAGAAAACTCCATTTGGCGCTCATCTTTGAATGTACTTTTCATCGGTTAACTGCTCTTGCTTCAAGTTGTTTCTTTTCTCAACTGTTTTGCTTAATATAACACTTCTAAAGATGGGTTTTATCGTGGTTCAATGGGAAAACGAGAACAGCGTGAGTGTTTTAAATGAAAAGAAAGTCGTTGGCGCCGTGGAATTAAAAGAAGGGACAATTAACAGTTGACATATCGACTGGTTCAAACAAGCCAGAATATAATAGACGATTTTATATGGTGGCCAATAGCATGATAATCCAAGAAAAGACCGAACTTCATCACCCAATTCTTAATTAATATACGCAGGGATTCTGAGTCTGATTAAAGACAGAAGTATTTTCTAAATCTTCTGAGATAAGTGATGGGTATGATAAGAATACCAGCGATATTCACTCCACAAATTTTGTAAATTTTTTTATTTCATGGTGCCTATTGTTATCAGTAATTGCTGTTTGGTTGGCTGACGAATCATTGATTTGCGAGTTACTCATGCGATTGTGCATGCACAGTGCCTCACCTGGCCCCCCATTCACTTGCTGAGATATAATTTCTCAACTTGATACCGCATTACAGCTTGTCGCGCATACTAAAATATAGATTCTTGTATCATCGACGGACGAAGACGGATGTGTTGTAACGGCTTGATGTGCTCACAAATTTTCTAAGGTATAGGACAACGATGTGCGCTCGCTACTAGCCTCGGGGTTAGGGTTAGAATCATCAGGAGGAGGTTTTTTTTACTTTTACTCATAAACTGAAACACTCTCTTTCAGCCTGGAAAAATCAGTGGAATCTGTAACATGGGAATATTTGACGGTCTGTTGAAACCCTCAGAGAGGAAGGCGTTGTTTATGGTGGGAACTGGAAATAGCGAAAGAAAGGGGATTGGATGTGCAGTAGAATGTGAGGGGAAATATTATGTGCTCACGTGTAGAGATGTTGCCAGCCCTGAAGACGCAGGAGCAGACAATGAGCACGAATTTATCTTCGATCGCTATTGTTCGAATCATCCAAAGCATGTCGGCAAACATCGCCTGAAAGCCCAAGATATTCTGTGCGATGACAAGCGTAGTTTTCTCCGTCTCCCAGATGGCGAAGTTTTGAGTTCGCATTTCCTTTTGAGTGCAGATGATAAAAAGAAAGAGAAGGTTTACTCATATTTTCTCAGTGATGATGGAAAACGAGCACAATCTATTGATTGGTTGTACGATAATACTACAAGGAATTACTCTTTATCCGTTGATCGTGACCTCGACAGAAAAAACTTTCTTGGTTCACCGGTGCTATATTCTGATAAGGACGATAAAACCTTTGTAGTTGGAGTGGTTGGTAAGGAAGAGAACACTTACTACCCAATTTTCTTCAAGAGCGCCTCACTTCCTATTCGTGGTAAGAAGCTTTAGAAACAATTGTCTCCCTTTCCTTTTCCTCCGAAAATAGTGACTCAGGGAGAGCCACAAATGACGTATATGATTCTGTCTTTCTGTGCATAAAGGACAAGTTACCTTTATCGTCAAACATAAAGCTGTGATAATAAAGCTCTAGATTATAGTGGATACACGGAACCTCCCAACCCCCTCCCCCCCCTCCATTACGATATCACCTGTATTGAAATCCTTAATAATTATGCTTCCTTAAAATAACTTAGATTATAGTCCGACAATCATTAAGGTTTCATGTTAGCATGGCGTCATTGCAATAACCTTTAAAAGAAGCTCTCTTAACGTTTCGCCCCGATCATTTCTTGTCGGGACAAATTTTCAATTTGAACACCAAAAAATCACAATACGAATTATGGTCATGGTCATTATATCAAATAAAGAGGTAATACGAGGAGTCCTTTAGACATTAAGGAATAGACAAAGAAGTCTCGACCTCGAAACTCCCCCCCGGATTGGCCCACCCAGCCGGAGTTTATCCCGGTTCCCTTAACATGAAGCGACTAGGAGTATTACTACTCCCCCCTGGGTGAGCTGCCAGTCCATCGCAGAGTTACAGCCCCAGAATTTCATCAGGCTTTCTTGACAGTTACAATTAGCTAGCAAACATTTATACTTCAGGGTGGAGAGAGGCATCGTGAAAGTCAAGTATTTTGCCCAAGAACACAACACATTGACCCAGCCATGCTCGAACCAAGACCTCTCGACCGGGCAAACAAGACTCTAACATAACAACCATGATTCCCGAGTGTCAAAAGAAACCACTCGCATCCAAAAAAGGATGATTTTAATCGCTAGTGTCCTTCCTGCAGGTGCTCCCAATCAAGTACATATTGAAGCAGTTCCATTTGAAATAACTGAGGACAGGGTGACGTTGAAGTGGACAGCACCTAAAGACAATGGAGCAGTGATAACAGAGTATACAGTCTATAGAAGAGAGGTCAATGAAGATGGTTCACGTTCCGACTGGGAAGGAAAGCGAACTGGTCTAGAAATTCTTCAGCATGAAGTCGTTGGTTTAGAAATCGGAAAATTGCACGAATTCCAAATAACCGCCAAAAACCGATGTGGTGAGAGCCCAAGAGGGGGGAAAGCGACTATCAGAGTGAAAGTGTTGGGTAAGGTTCTCAAACGTGGCTGTAAAATACAACTAAATAAAAACAACTAAACGAAATGAAATTAGAATATACAGATGACCCGACCAGGTCACGAACTCAGACCTCTCGACCAGGCGAATAAGTCCCTAACATAATAACTATAAAATTCCTGAGTTTCAAAAGAAACTACTTGTATCCAAAAAGGTTGATTTTAATCGCTAGGATCCTTCCTGCAGGTGCTCCCTATCAAGTACATATTGTAAGAGCTCCACGTGAAATAACTGAGGACAGGGTGACGTTGAAGTGGACAGCGTCTAAAGACAATGGAGCAGCAATAAAAGAGTACACAGTCTATAAAAGAGAAGTCAATGAAGATGGTTCACGTTCTGTCTGGGAAGGAGAGGCAACTGGTCGAGGCGTTCTTCAACATGAAGTCTTTGGTTTAGAAAGCGGGAAAATGTATGAATTCCAAGTAACTGCCACAAACCGGTGTGGTGAGAGTACAAAGGTAGAGGAGGGTCCAAACATAGTCCAAATTGCATGTGGTAAGTTCTAGTCATCTTAAGTAACAATTAGATTGCATTATTGACCCGAATTAATAATACAGGGTACAGTAGTGGGAACCGAACACAGAGCCTTCAAAATCCGTCTTTAAACTGCAAACGGTGAACATTCTAATATGTAAAAGCTAGCGAAATGATAAAATGATCTTGGTAGTCCTATCCTACCCATGACTCACAATTTTGGAAATAACGGAACGTTTTGTTGGATTTTGTAAGTCATATTAGCAGGGTAGGCTCCTGATATTCATTATTTCATTTTCATAACTTGAATTTTTCTTTAGAAATTGCATGAGCTGCGTCGGAAAAATAACCGCAAGGAGCGATCATTTCACCTTTTTATTCGGTGGCTTGCTGGCTCCGCGAGTGATTTTTAGGCTTTGTGCCTGATAATAAGCCTTCACGGTCATGGGAAACAAAAAAGGATATAGTTGGCATTTCGAGACAATCCTAAGTGAGATGCCGAAAAAATTAGGGACCAGTGAATATTTTTATCGCCTGGTAGGGGGAAGAGGGGTGGATTTTGCGGGATCACGCGGTTTTTAGGGTGAACGGAAATGGGGGATCAATGGTCGCCAACAGAGTTTAAAGGGGGGGGGGGAAGCAGGGGAACTGTAATAAATTGATGGCCAATTAACTGACAACGAAGAGGGAGATCATCAGAATATTGCAGAGTCTTATGGGGGAGTCAGCTGAATTTTTATCGTGACACAACCAAAATCCTCCAATTTCCAACCCACACCACCTCCAAGGCGAAAGGTAATGATCGGTTAGTCACTTCTCCATACACGGCCAATATTCTCTCTCTGGGGGGTCCTTAAAACCACTAAACCCTTATGACTTTCAGAGGTCCGAATGTAATGTTAATTATAATGAAACCAACATTTTATACACATTTCTAAATTCCCTCCTTTTTCATAGTTTCACCAGATTCTTTATTAGAGTTTTTGCTGTTCAAGAGCTTTTCGTTTCTCATCAACATGATCTGGTATTGGTGGAATGGGACGGAAGGTATTTGTGACCGTAGATTACGTGTATTTAGTAAATGACTTAGGGATTGGAGATTCGGATGCGTCTTCTGGCTAGCTCAACTGTCAGAGTGCCTGACTGTCGTGGCTATCCTCTGATGGTTATCTTTATTTGGTATATACTAAAACAGTGGATAGTTTCGAAGGCGCGCTCTGATTGACTATGCAAACTTCTAGACTTGCTCTTAATTAAGGTGCCGATATGTGATAAACATGGGACACAGCTCTAGACAAATCTTTGATTATCTATCTTTTTAATTATCTCGTGCCTCTCCATAGGTTGAAGAGGTCATGGACATCGAAAGTGAACCAGACAATTGGTTGGAGTAATTTAACGTAGCCTCAAACAATATTGGCCACGGCATTTAAAACAATATACATCAGTTTTATTTTACGTTAAATTAGTACCTATGAAACAATGGATAGCATCGAAGGCGCGCTCTGATTGGCTACTCAAATTCTAAATATAATTGTATCCTTTGCTATTCACCTCCTATAACTTGTGCGGGACTTGCGCCTAAAAATAAATATTCTCATCTTTGTTAGTATCAATGAGTTAAAATCGTTTTTTGTGTCATTGTTTATACTAAAAACAACTAGTCACCTTTGAGCAACTGAAGAGACAAAATCGCGTGTACACCATTTTTTGGTATAACGACAATAATAAACTGATACATATCAAACTCTTTCCCCAGTGCGACGAACATTTGTTTTTCTCGGTTCCAGGTGTACGCAACCACTAACCCCACGTAATGCAAAGAAAGAAAAAAACAAAGCGATTTTGCAATGAATACTCAACATAAACCCTCGTTAGAAAGGCGAATCCACGGAGGAAAGATACAAAACTGTATGATACTGAGATCGATATGATATTAAATCGATACCGAGGGCCCGTTTCCAACTTGCTAAGAAGCGCATTTAATTGCCTTCCGCCACGATAACTAGCTTTCTTGACAGCCTTCTGAAGACAGAATACTTTCTTTCTGAAGACTTCTAATGTGCGGCTATTGATTATTACACCTCGTATACCTGATTGCTCAAACACTTTGTTTACGATTGTTGAAAGGACCGACTCATGGTTCTCCGTCTTCGTCTTTACATTGCTTTGAAATAGTATAGATTAGTAAGCTGAAACGAAAAACTAATCAGGGATGTTTACGAAAAATCCAGCAAACAAGCTTAAAAAAGGCATTTATTTAGACTTCGTAGTTCAACGAACTTCACAAATCTTACTTGTTTATCTTGTAAGTAAACGATGGCAGACTAATTCCCGAAGCGCCTTCTGAGTTTCCCGATCCCTCTCCTACTGCTTTCACGCTTACAAAACAGGAAAAAATAAAAAGGAGGGAGATACAGCTGTTTTGAAACGCCATTTGACGAGGGTAAATCTGCTTTTTGTTCGACACTTTACATATCAAAACAAAGGAAATTTGTTCCTCTTTTTTATTCTGGCGGTAAATTTTTAATTTGCGCCTGCGTAAAAGAGATATCGCCCGAGACCCTTCGCTCGGTCGTGTTTTGATCACAAACGCCTTGTTAATTAATTTGGTGAACCCAGGTTACTTCAAACCTTACTAGGACATTTTTGAAATTTTCCGAGAAGGTCTTACTGGCTTGAGTCACATTGCACAAAGATACAAATCTACATTGAGAAAAGCAGGTAATTTAGTGTTAACGACTGAGTTAAAAACCTAAATTAACCACCGTAAAGGGTAAAAAAGCTGACGTTTCGATCGTTAGCCCTTCGTCAGAGCGATTGATTACATTGAGAGAAGCCCTCGAACTTCGCGAGCTTTTGATTTAAGCACGTGCCTAATTTCAGTGGCTTAAAACTCGTTTCCCATGCCCTATGTGTAGGTGAATCGGATCTAATCTATCTTAATCCCAAGAACTGACAGAAAATGGCGCAAACACCGTTAGTGAGAGGTTTTGAGAGGACACCTTGTGTTGTTTACGTGACATATACATAACTGCACGTAAGGCCTGGTTACATTAAATCAAAATGGCGGACGAATCTCTTCGAGTTGTCGAGTTTTACAGTGGAATCGGTGGAATGCACTTTGCTTTGAAAGGTAACACATTTCAGAGAAAGCGGTAATGTTAAAAAGACTATTGAATCTGTTCTCACCATCAATTAAGGTGATTTCGAAACTCTCACCTTTCATGTCGTCTTCTAAGAAAATTGATCAAAACAGAATCGTCACTTCTCTTTTTGTTGGCTCAGATGAACATGCTGTGGCAAAAATGGTTCTTACATTTGCAGGCACAGTAGTTTTCATCTCGCATCACACTGCCAGTCAGTCAGGTCCTCTGTCTTCCTCCAATGGTTGACGAAATGAAAGCGTTCACAACATCTTGATCAAACGTTAACTTGACAACTGCAGAAGTGTTTAGAGATTGAGAAGAAGGAAGAAGAAACTCAAGATTTATACTTGTGTGTATTAAAATGAATGAATCTCAAGCAAGAATCATCAGATGTTGACAAGATATTTTTTAAGTGTCCAATTGTAATCATGACCAGTTTTAATTCACCAAATCGCGATTGTTTGATGCTTAAAGTATAAAATAAATTACAAAATCTACACTCAAGTAAATCTGGTGACGTTCAGGCATAGGACACTAGGAAAAAATTTCGTGGAAATTGTTCAGAGAATTTTCTCTCAAACCACTTGGAATATCTGATAAGCTTCTTTTGCTTCCTTTCTCTGTTTACATCTCTTTGAGATGTGACTTTCAGACCAGGGTTTTTGTGCTGTTGCCTTTTATTTGTAATTACAATTTTTTCTACAGGTGAGCTAAAATACACTAAGTGACTGCTACATGTGCTACATGTTGTTCTATCTCCACTCTAATACAACTTTAATGTTCCTTTTTTCATGCCTACAGGATGTGGGTTTGCTGGTGAAGTAAATGCAGCCTTAGAGATCAACACCACAGCAAATCAGGTGTACCAATTAAACTTTGCTGACACAAAACTGCTGCAAAAGAATATAGAGGTTAGTGTGTATGATTTTATAACAAGTGGTAAAATGTTCTGTATGCCTGGAAAGTGCCAGAGGAAGTAGACAGAAATTTCAGCCAATCAATGTTTTAGATATATTTTTGCAATGAATCTCAAGAAGTAACCTGTAGAGTGATACATTTCCAGTATTGCAGGATTGGTACATTGATCTCAAGGTGCATTAGCATCGGAAAATCAAATGAGTTAGATAGGAGGAATGAAGATGCTTTATTTCAGATATCTGAAACTCTAACTGATCGGTTTCTTATGGTTAGGCTTTGTTTGTTTCCAAAGGAGAAAAATCAATCTTTAGAGATCAAATATCCAAGACAGTGGATTTGAGTTTAAGATCTTTGAAATGCCAGGCTTATGCAGTACAGCTTACATGTACTGCAGTACCCTCAGGTGCATCAAGTGCTTGTAATGCTGCGGTACATGCAAGCAGTACTGTATATCCAAATTAGTGATGTGTACTCCACTCAGATTTTAGATACTCAGAAAAGAATAGGCCTGCAGTGTGTACAAAAGCAATAGATTGCTTTAATTCATAATTTTTAGTAAGTTTTTAAATTGCTGGGGTGATTAGATTAATGAAGTTCCTCATTTTATATCTGACTTTTCCTGATTATCTGATGTCTTAAAGAGTTATAGCTGTTTAAAGATGATGATAAACTTGTCTTGAAAATACCACATGTAGGTGTCTTCATTTCCTTCTTCAAAAGATAAAGGAGAATGGAAAATTATCTGTAAGGTGGTAATCTTAATTTATAGGTCAAACATGAGGGATTTGCAGTTGAATGTGTACTTTGGAAACTAAGTTCAGGAATTTTCTCTCCACAATTACATTGTAATTGATCTATGTACCTCACAGAAGAACAGTAGATTTTGTGTATCGTTAATTTTTTTTAAGGGCATTACAGTCAAGGAGCTGGATCGTTTATCTGCTGATGTTTTCCTGATGTCACCCCCTTGTCAGCCATTTACAAGGTATGTGTACTGTACATTAATGCAAAGGTACCATACATGGACATACAAGAGAATCCAGAGTTTCAACCATATAATCCTAAAAATTGGCACTCAAAATGCCAAACTGTTTAGATATGGGATGTGTTAATTTTCAGTTTTTATTAGCAGCAAGGGTTTAACATTGGTATATATGCAGTTCTTTTTGTTATAAATTTGTGGTTTCTTTTCATGTTACACAACTTGATCTTTTCTGGTAGATTAGGGATTAGGGGGATCTGATACACAATGTATTTTATTTCTGAAATATTCATGAGGTACTTTCTTAACTTGTAGGGTTGGTCTTCAAGGTGCATCCAGTGATCCAAGATCAAGAAGTTTTCTTCACATTCTTGAACTCCTACCTCAGTAAGTTCATATAGTTGTTATGTGTATGCTTAATAAGATTATTTGATTTAAAATCAGTGACACAAAATTGCCAAAAGAAATTTGTTGGTGTGATATAGGTCATTACGCAGAGCTATTCTCCAAAATTGTTAGTGCCTGCATGTTCAGTGTAGCCTGGCTACTGTGTAACTATTTTTTTTTTCAATGATAGACTATCAAAAGTGCCAGACTACATCCTAATGGAAAATGTAAAAGGATTTGAAACTTCAGATACAAGGTAATTACTCGGTAATTTTGAATGCCTTTTTCCTTTGAGCTAATGAATGATCAAATTAAGTTATATGTCTATGGTGTTAACATGTATATGAGAGAAAATTTTAAAAAATGAAAAATTTAAATCGAGATGTGCCATTTATCAGCTTTCTTAGACTAGAGCAAATAAAAGATGACTCTAAAATTAATGATAATTACCAGTATACTTTAAGCACTAGTACTAATGATACCTAATAATTATAATAACATTAATTGACAATGGGGCTTTGCAGGGCCAATACAAACAAATTGACATAAACGTTGTAAATAAACATGATGATAATGTTTTAAACATCCCAACTGACCAGTTGGCTGTATACAAAGTACAGCCAAAGGAGTTGAATTTGTAGCAACCAAGAACAAGTCCAGTGAGTAGCAGGATGGAGGGCTTGAACACCAAATTACAAGACCAGTGCCCTAACCACTCAGTTACACTTCTTCCCCTACATGTATGGCAGCATTGTGGTTTATTTTGTTTGATATGGTTGTTTATCGTGGTATACTATTTTTTTTTTCTTCAGGGAGTATTTTCTTGAAACACTAAACACTTGTGGTTATAATTATCAGGTACATACAGGCATTTTTATTTTGTATAATGGTAAATTAACTAGAGTATTAATACAACTACAATCATAAATTTTGGCAAACCTATTTTGAAACAAAAATAAGTTCCTAGTCCTGCTAGGTCTCAAATTAACAGAAGAAACATCTTAAAGTTTAAAGTAAAAAGAAAAGGGCATATGAAATAGATAGTGGGCTTAAAGGAAGCCTGTTCAACTCACTTATGGTTTTTTCTCTGTTGTCTTTTAGTAAGTAAGTGGGCTATAATAGGTCAATTTAGCAGCCCATATGTCACTGTACAGCAAGCTAAATGCAAAGTTTTTTCAAAGTCAAATATTTGCCCTGTATTTGAGCTCAGAAGTATGCATATAATAAATACTTACTAACTTCATTTTGCCAGTCCAAAATATAATTTACAGAACCTCTTTTCTTTCTCTTGTATTCCTATCACTTGTCTGATTTATATTGTATCGATATTGTGAGGAGAAATTCTGTCTTGGTCACTCATGGAAGTTAAAGGATTCACTAAAGTTAAGTCCACTACTTATGTAGATTATTTGTCATAGGCTGAATCATTTGGTAAACAATTCTAATATTTGAGCACACTCAGGTAACATACAATTATCATTTCAACCAACATATCATCCTTTTTTTTCCCATAGGAGTTCTTACTGTCTCCAGTTCAGGTAGTGTATACATTGTTTTATGCCAAAAGAATGAATAATGTCTTTGGAAATTGGCTACTTTTGTCACGTGGTACAAAATCACTGCTGGGAAGTTATCACTTAATAACCACCATTTAGGTCGATATTTGTCCTCTGATTATTTCTGACGAAAAGAAGAAAGCCAGTTCAAGAGTTTTACATTTTCATCTTTATTACTTTACATAGCAAAAAAACCAACTTGTTTTGGTAGTGACATTAAAAAGCTGATCTCACATGCTACAAGGGAAGTACAAAAAATTTTATAAAATTTTGCTTTCAATGTGCAATACAAAAAATGATGGCAGGGTTAAAAGATAAATATAACCCCTCCTGGCCTGCTGTTATGTCGGCTGATAAGGTTGTTTGCTCAGAGATTGTCCTCAAAATTTCACATTTGCCCTCGAATCTTTGCCTCTCAGCCGCGAACATTATCAGCTGACATACCAGCCACCTGAAGGGGTTTATGAACTAAACAATTGTTTGCATTACTTTTGCAACTTTTGCACAGTTCTGTGTCAGGCCCCTACCAGAGTTTTTAGTGTATTCAATTACTGAAGGTCTTTTCAAATCATGTTTAAGATATTTTTGTATCATAATTAGGGTATAAAAATTTTCCATTCATTACAAAATTTAATGTTTGGTGTTTAGTACATAGACAAGAGCCAACAACTCCAAACGCAAAAAGTTATCTCAGGATGTTTTAATATTCCACTATTCCCCTGTCTTTATCCCCAGTCCCCACTCCCTGGCCCGGCCTAAGCTATCTATGTGTAACCTTTTTTATTCCCCCCTCTAGTTGCAAACACATTTCCCTGAAAATTAATTATGAGAATTTGGTGTTAGATCATGATAACAACTTATACCCGATAAGTTTGAATGTTCTCATTACCTGTTTGCTGGATAATGTACAGATATTAAAGGGAGAGGTTACATGTTGGTCACGTAAAGGAGTTTAAGGATTAAAGTACTGTAAAGTACTTTTAGTGTACATCTAATAGCATTGTTGCACTGTTGCATTTGCAGTTCGGAATCCCCAATTCTCGTCTAAGGTACTATCTTTTGGCAAAGAGGAAACCCCTTCGATTTTGCTTCCCAACACGTAATGAGGTAAACAGATTGTAAACTACTTATGTGGGCTTTAACCACCATGGCGACATTTTCTAGAATACTAAAATTGATATTAGAACGTTAGTTTTTCGCATTAAAGCAACATACGGTATATTTACAACAAGATTTGACTAAAATCTTTGAACAGACCCACCTCTGGTTATGTTATGGAACTCAGAGCACACAGGTCTCACGTTACGATTCGATTCTTGCTACCAGCTGTTTATGTTTCTTGATAACCTCTATTTTAACTCGTTCACCACACTCCTACATAACTAATATGTCTACTAGAGACACAAGTTGACAGTCGCTAACTTTTTTGGTCGACAGTTGACAAATAAGACTAGGTTTGCTTTTCTATCTTTGACAGATTATGGAGAGCTTTCCAGACATGTATCTCCATGCCGAAAATCGATGTCACTGTCAGTGCAGTGGTTGTGGAAATGACCCGATGTCAACAGGGTATGAAGTAGATGTGGATGACCACGAGCAGTCGTCTGCGACAGAGTGCACTGTTGAATTGAATCAAAGATCACATCATAACCCCGCCTGCTCGAAATGCTTTAGGACAAGAAATGAACGATGTTCAGAAGTACCCGCAATGGACTCAAGTAGTCAGGTTTACGAGCTAAAAAATTGTCGACGAATCTGTGACTACCTAGAGAATGGTAAAGATGATAATTACTTCGAAGAGTTTCTTCTACCGGAGAAGGTTCTGTGTAAATTTGCACTCCTTTTAGGTAAGAGCATGACACATTGAGACAAAGCTTATCCTTTAGTAAAACGTCGTCCTGTAATGACTGAAGATTAGTTAAAGCGGTTTTTGAAGTTCTGTAGGATGCCCATTTGCCAACGGGCTCGAATCTGAATCTAGAGGTCCGGCAGTGAGCCTTGGCCGGGGCAGTCGGGGTTTCGCTCTTGGAAAGGTACAAATTCTTCTTTCTTCTCACAGAGGCTTCTCCACTCAGGAATATAAATAGTTGCCGGTAAACTGTCAGCGCAACTTGCAACGAATTATTCAGGCTTACCTGTGATTGACTGGCATCTTATTCAGGCGGATCCTTACAACCTTAATCTAGCCTTTTACCTGGGCTCAAGAAAAGAAAGAACTGAAATCATTTCCAGAACTGGCTGTCCCTAATGTTACAGCTAGACATAGTCTTCTGTTACTACTCTCTTCAGAAAAACAAATCATGACGCAAATCATGGGTTAACGTGGATTTAGTCTCAAAATTATTACACTCACCTGCAGCGGACTTATCGCAAGCACGGCGACGGTCGGTATTATTGAATTCGCTGGGTCAAGCAAACATGACATTCAACAAGGGAATTGAACGAAGCAACCAAGAAGCATCAATTCCCGTCACACCAGTATACACCAAGGATTTTCATGCTATTGAGACCGGGACACACTCTGATATTTAATGGGTCGTAATGCATCAGCGGTCTGGCCCGATAAGTTTTATTAGAGATGCATCCAGTTTTCAGTGAATCTTTCATGAATTAATGACCTTACAATAAAAAAAAGTCTTCATAAATCGATTACTAAAGGTTCCCGCCTATGCGTAAAAACACCTTTATTGACATGGGAAGATGTCAATGTTCACCGCAAATTATTCTGCTTTTCAGCTTCAGAATATAAGCTGCCACTTAATACATCCATCATCTTTCTTCATCCTTCTCTTTCTTATGAATGCATTGTTTGCATGAATTTCTAGAAACATAACATGTCAGTCTTACAAATATTACTGCCTTGTCCACGCTCTGTAACTTTTTATTATCTTACTTTCACAGACATCGTCAATCCTCAATCTGAGCGTTCCTGTTGCTTCACAAAGGCGTAAGTATTTTTAAACACAACAATTACAAGATTTTCCTTTGACTTTCAGATCTTTATAAGGAAAAAACAAACAAAGCAAGAACAAAAAGTAAAGAGACAAGGAAAGCCAGCACGTAACCATGAACATCAACTTGAATTGTTCTTTAGCAATCCAAGAATGCATAGGTTTGCCTCACTTAGCTCTTGGATTGGTCTTGAAAACTTACCTCTTTTTTCTTTTCAACCAATCTGCTCGGTGCCACACATAAACCAATGGCGGCTTGGTCACCTACATTTTTCCGCGCGTCAGGGAGTTTGCTTGTCTTTACTTTGAGTTTTGTTGGGTCCTTGTATTTATTTTTGTTGTGAGTGGGTGTTGTGATAACTTTGGCTCTGGTTTTACGACACACAGTCAGAATGCATTCTACGTGCCAATCAGATCATGCAACTGGTTGAAGGTGTGCAGAAAAACTGGTACGAATGCTACGTATACTTGGATTGGCCATGGTATTTTGTTCAGTTTAAATGTCGTGTTTAATGCCCCATGCATCGTCTTTTCGCTGCAACTGCGATTAATCTCATTTTTCCCCTTTCTTTTTCTTGTGCATAGTTATGGACATTATGCTGAAGGAACTGGCTCAGTGCTCAAAATGGCAAATATCGATGTGAGTTTTCTTCTTTAAATTTTTTTAATCTATTACTTCGTTCTCCTTCTATTTTAACTTAAAGAAAGAAACTGAAAGAGAGAGGATAAAGCAAAGAACGAAACATTTATTTTGTATCCACACATTTCACCCTTAACAGTGACTTCGATAGCCCCACACGAATCAAGTACTGTACTTGGTCACAATTTTGGACAAAATCTTTGGTAACGCTTGGAACTGAATCTCTGAATTTGTTCAAATACAATACAATATGGTGTTCCCTCTCATAGGTTGCCCTTCTCCCCTTCTCAGCGTGATGCTCTAAGTCATGCATCATATGCTTATGAAAAGCAATATTTTAGTATGGGGTTATTGGAATAAATCATAATGGAATTGTTTGATTAAGATTTTGGATAATTGACTTTTCCTCATGTAGGACTGAGACAAAGGGAAACTGAAGATACTAAATGGTGTTAATTAATGTTTGTTTATCACGAAAATCGTGTCCAAAGATTTTTTGTTTACTTTTCTTGTATACTCATTTTTAGCGCAGGAGTTTGCTAGAAAAGAAAGACGTTTCAATTATCACATTACACACAAAACTATCGTTTCTTTCGTAATTCGAACGCTTTCAAACTTGGCAGTTTCCCACACAGAGCTAAGTCATCTTTTGGCGATCGAAGATCTGTATGTACGGTGTTTATGGTGCATCCAGACCAAGTTACCGTCTTCCTATCACGAAAGACTGTATCAATGTAACAGACATTTGTTATCCTTCGTAGGACTCAGATATCTTCAGAAGATACCAGGATCTTGCAGATGATAAACAAAAAGCAGAGCTTCTGTCAATATTGAAATTGAGGTATTTTACCCCACGTGAGGTGGCAAATCTGCATGGCTTCCCCTTCGAGTTTCGTGAGTATTATCAATCATTTTTTTGTTACTTTCAATCATGATGGCACACGCATCTTATGTCTTTATTTCCCGTCCAAAAAACAGCGACAACAACAGAATACAAAACTTAACACAAAGCACTCACAAAAAGTGCAGTAAATTGTCAATGATTTAGGAAACGAAGGAACGTTATATTTACATGCCTTCATCCTAGTATAATTTATTAGACGGAATACCTGCAAGAACACTTCTTATTGATTGCTCGCTATGTATCTTATTAGTTTGCCAACCATCTCTCTCTCTTTCTTGTTTTAATAGGTTCCCGAATACATTTTACGCTTATTTTTTGTCATCGGTTAACTTACATGATACAAAAACCAACTGCCTTCCATTTTAGAATCTACGATCCCTTAGGGACTGAAGTCGCCGTATTGTTACTTGGAGCTTTACTTACTGTCATTCACTTTTTTGTTTACTTTATCAGGTTTCCCTTCGTCTTTGTCGATCAAACAACAATATCGCCTGCTAGGAAACAGCCTCAATGTTCTGGTGGTGTCTGAGTTACTGAACTGTCTCTTCCACGCGCCATAATTTTGCAAAGAGACAGACTGGAGATTGTTCGTGTCTGTGCGGAAAGAAAACGATGATGCTTTGAAGAAACTGTCACAGTGACATTAGTTATTTACGGAAACAAGAGAGAAGACGTGCTCTACAAATCGAACATTTTTTTTTATCTGTAAATAATATAGATTTAGCCAACAATAAATGCGTAGCTCCAGTTGGTATAATTTTACAGCCTTTCATTGAGAAAGGGTTCCCAAATCCCAATTTCGCGACTGGACTGGATTTAGAGTCAAGGGTTTTCTTTCTTTTTTACTGTTTTGAGGGCAGGCTTTCTTTTTTTTTACATACCAAATACGGGGGGTGGGGACATCACTGATAAGGTGCAGAGCATAGTGTGAGTGAAATTGATGGTGAACATTACTTGATTGTGTTTAAAAGTGACGGTAAAAATTACAGTGGCTGTAGGGGCGGCCAAGAGAATGACACCTTTAGTAGTGTGATATTCAGAAGAGGATGAATCCAACTGTCGCAAGAAAGAACTCCGAGCTGAGTGCTCCTTGTAGGAGTGTAATCTACTACCGTTCCGATTAGTAGTTCGGATCATACGAAGATCCGATGTACTAATCGGGACGGTGATAGATTACTGAGCAAGGGATTATAAACTGTTTATAATCTCTTGAACTGGGTTGCGGGAGATTCGTGGTAGGCTAGGGCGTTGAACTATGTAAATTCCACGCAGATTTGCAGCAGATTCTAGAAAGTAGGGGATGATCTACTTACTGAGGGTCACTCATGCAATACGAAAACATAGGGCAGAAATAAGACGAGATACTCCGATGTGCCTTGTAATCCAGCCAATTAAATATCGAGTACGAAAAAAGATCTTAGCCTCTTTGACCGGTGATGTGAATGGGACTACAGGGTTGGTTAACTTTTTAAAATCAGTAAGCTTTTAGTGCATTCGTAAAGCTTGCAAGTGGGCTGTAGGAGTACCAATTCATGAAAACGGCTGAAAGCTCGCAAATTTAAATTGCGTGTGGGTGATTGTTTTTTTATTCTTTTCTTTTGCATCTTTTTTGCCTATTTGTTTCGGCGGCTCCGGTTTCATTGATGCACTGTACGATATTGTCATCTCACGCGCATTTCCAATAACTCCTAGGAAGTTAGAGTGCCGTTAAACTTTTAGATCTTATCACATGCATATAGTAACTCTTGATTGTTTTTTCAGGTCGGTGGCCTTTGTAGTCTGCGCTGATCTGCAGTTTTCCATTTCTTTGTCATAAATAAGTTCAAACCAGTTACGCGAATTTAGAGACAAACATATTAAAATTTAACCGCATGATTTTCGCCCGAAGAAATTCTTTGTAAAATAATCTTTAAGCCCATGCCAGGCAGTCCTTCCAATATTTACCAGGGTGCCATTATTGTAGTTAATAGAACGCAGTAATTAAAGAAAAAAACGACTGCAAAGATTTACTATATTGTCATGAATTTTCGCTATGCGTTTTGTGACCTGACCATACACTGATAATCTTTATAGATTCAGAACTATTCTAAACAATCTAAACTTCCCAATCATTTATTTGGTAACCACGTGTGGTCGCAAAAAAAAGAGTTGTGATTGGTCAGGAGCTTCCAAACCAACCTTCTACACCGTTGTTTTAATTTTTGATATTTGCCGGCTTACAAAAAAACTCTCTCTGCTAACTGTGATAGAATTATAGATCAGATTTGCTACAACAGTAGCTTGTCACAGTTGTTTTTCTAAACAAACCAATTCGTTTGTAAAAGGCCAGAACGATGGCTTGAACATGGGTCGTTTTACCTCCGGAGCACTTTTCCTTTCCTCGTTTATGATTTCTAACTGATAGTTGTCTTTGGCGGTTCGAGAGGAAGGAGGTTGGCGAGGTTTGTCCTTCGACGCGCAGCAGTTTTTTCAAAACAAACGTGTTTAAAAATTTTTCGTTAATCTTTAGCCGCCTTTTCATGCAATCTTTATCTTTTACTCGTGCAGACTGATACACAAACAAACAAAAGATGGTGTATTTTTGAAAAGCAAGAACAAGGAGGGCTGCCTGCTCAGAATTATGCAGCGCGTATTTGTTTAATAAGGAGAGTAAAATTATCTTCGACGAAAGAATACAATTAAATGAAAATTAAGAGAAAATTGAAAAAATTCTCAACGGTTAAGGGGCCCTCAAAAATAAACATAAGTACAAAAATCAAAACAGAAGTTCTAGAAAGAAAAAACGTTTTTTAAATCGCCTGCCTTGATTTGCGTCAACAAAGTAAAATGGTTATTAACACAAAGTAAATTAGGTAGATTTTTCCATATTTAACATCTATAGGAAATTGAAAATTACTAAATCCGCTCCCGCAAAGTGAAAACCCCGGAATGTGATTCCTTTGATAATAAGAAACAAAAGCGACATGACAGAAGTTATTTACACTTTGCAATCTGAAAAAAACACCATTGATGGAAAAATTGGATCGATTTGCATAGAAGATGACTTTAATTCTCACCTAAAAAAGAATTTTGTTCATTGATATTCAAAATTTGTTCCTATATATTTTTCTTACAAGCTTATGCATTTTTTTATAAATTGGACGATTGAAACTCGTATTTGGTATAAAAGGCTTTGTTATATTTGGTACTACCTCATTATTTATTCGGCATAATTTTTTTTCCAATTCATAAAATTATGGAGTAATTTTTATAGATTTCTGATATTCGTAGAGGGAGCACGAGATGCCGTTAAACGATTGTGTTCAAATGCTCGGTAAAGAATCCAATTTTAAAAGAAATGGTATCTGCTAGTGATGTGATGTCAAGAAGGTTGTCAATCGCAATGAACTGTATGCCATTATTTTCCACCAAAATACAGGAAGTTAAATAAATCTGCATTAGTTCAATTACTACACGTAAACAAATTTTCCGCACCACCTGATATGAGAAAACAAAAATTAAATTTCCACTCTACAAGGATGCGATTATCAACTGAAGGGATACCTAGTATGTTGTTTATAGCCGTCACGCAAGTTATTGATTTGGATATTAAAATGCTCAATAATTGTTGTTTTAAAACAAGACTTATTCAAGCAAGTCTGATTTGAATTTGAATGAAGGGGTTTGAATAAATGGGTATTGATCTAAACTGGAGACGTTGGTTTGAGTACAAAAGAAGTTCCTTTGACGGCTGTTGAATTTACACCGTTAAATAGCAGCTTTTCCCGATGCAGATCAAATCAGCGGTTTAAACGGGGCCCATGGTGACAGGACGATATCAAAAGGAACGTAAATAGAGCCGGACGTCAAAACCAAATGAAATTTTTTTGAGGCAAAGCTTAATACCTAATATTGTAGTAACGAGAAGGTCTGGGAAAGTGATCCCCCTGATATTAAAAAAATGCTTTTATATCATGTCGAGTATTTTAAATTACCTTTTTTATTTTTGCACGCCAAATTTAATCGAACTTACGCCTCGCATGTTTTGCGTCAGACAGAAGGAAAACAGAAGGAGATCCCGTGGGTTTTGTAACAACACAGTAAATTCTTGAAACCTTCAAAAGCCTTTCCAGCCCGTCATTGGAGAATTTTGTCATTGTCTGTCTCGATACCAAGAATATTAGTCCTGTTTCGTTTCTGAAGACTCAAGGTTATGCTCTCATACAGATTGAAATTTATGTCATAAAGTCTCGTTTGCAAGTAATTATTCATGTGGCATCGGAAATTAGGTGAACTTAGAATTTTTGCCCATAGGGCAGCATATTTATTCACAGCTAATCGATGGAAATTTTGAAATAGTGAAATGCGAGATTGGAGAGTACTAATTTGATTTAGTGATGACTTCTCGCAGCATTTTTTTGTTACTCATTCTGCTTGTAACTCAAAGAGAAAGTATTTTAGCGTTATACAGTAATGGGAAAACTGTATCTGATGTCGTTATATTCTACAATGCTTCGAGTAGGTACATGCGGAACATTGTACAAAGGGCAGAATCCTTGTTCCTTGCTAACAGACCGAGGAGCAAGATTAGTCTTGAGCAGGAAGCTTCAGAGGTTTATGTAAATCCTTTGCCCATTGACAGCAATAAGATAGCGCTCAGTCAAGTTGGTGCCAGCGGAGGATCTCTCTCTCAGATCTGGAATATCTCATCGCAGACTCTGGGTGCCATTTTTGTGGACGTCAACGTTGATGCCCTTTATACTTCGTCACTTTTGGAGGAATTGGATTTCCCGACCATTGGGATCTTTCAAAGCGAGGGACAACCGAGAACACAGGTACACAGTGGTAGCTAGCAGGTAGAAGATTTTCTTAAAATGCTAGGACAATCTTTAAATTATCACTGAACAAATCGAGGATCTCATTCATTACGGTCCCTTAGAGACCACGAGATAAAAATTACATCAATCCTGATTAAGATTTTCTTCCGAACAGTTTAAAGTTCATATTTTCTTAGTGAAAAAATCACCGGCTTTCTTTTAATTTTTTTCTGTTTATTTGGAGGATCTAACCAAAATGAAACCAAGGTTAGAGGCTTAATTCCAAAATATTTAATGTTGACCAAAGCGTCGCATTTAGTTTTATTTGTTTTTTTCGGGGGGTACATATAATCATACAACCGGATTCACAAACCCGAAAAAACCAATAAATCACTTAATCATATATCGCTGTTTTTTTTTTCAAAGCTGGTAACAATTACGAAAGCTTTTCCTTGACCTAATTGTTGATGGATGGAAGTAACCGTAATGCAAATTAACGAAGATTTATATACCACACGATGATTCCTTTTCCTCGCCCCTCAATTAAAACCAGTTTTCTCAGAGAATTTACCAAGGAAAGGCTGGCATCTTTTGTTTCTATTTCCGTTTCATTTTTATCGATTTTTGGACGCATTTTCTCTAAAAAATTTTCGTGTTAATTGTAATGACTCAAAGATATGCAAATCCACTTTATTTAAATCCAGCTGATTTTTTAGACTCCTAACAGATGAATTATTTCATCAACTCAGATTCTCTGACGAGTATCTGAAGAATTATGGAAAATTTTTTTTTTCTAAGTATTTAATGGCGTTCACATCGGATCAGTCGTCATGATGGAATAACAGTATCAAAAATATCTCACTATTTGAAGCAGTCTCTTTATTCCATCAACACCTGTAAATTTTAATTAAAGGAGTTTTAAAAAAAACAGTAAGTTTTGTTCTGCCAGGTTTTCGATTTGCATTTGTTTTTCCCATGTTATTTTAAATTTATTCGATATTTTTCTTTAACCTTAAGTTACAGTGCTCTTTTCACAAATATGATTCTTTCCGTTGTTACTAATTATCATAATTAGTACTGTCTCATTAAATTAAATTATTCATACACTTTGGCTGAAAAACCTCCTAACCGAAAAATATATTTTTATTTTTCTTTTTTGCTTGGTCCTTATCTTGTAAGACTGTTTAGAATGCTCATTATTCACAAGCAAGCTTTTCATGATTTATTTCCTCAGCCTTAAAGTTTCCTTTGCTAATACAAATGTATGACTATGTACAGTATTAAAGAAAATTAAAAAGAGAACTTTCTTTGACAGCTAAAGTGCTCAGATAAAAATTTCAGGAGAGTCTTAACAAGAAAATTTAAAATCCATTTAGCCTTGTAACCGTTCGGCTCATCATAGGCCTTTCATCCAAATATGAATCAACTTCTCTAACAAACCAAAAAAAAGATAAAAGTTGTTATCAACAAACAGCTAAACCTTATTACAAGTTGTCGAGGATAAGATGATGCCTAGTGTGGGCCAGTTGCACAGATGTAAAATTTGTACCATTTCCTAGATTTTCATTTCCGTGTGTTTATTAGGAGAGTCCTGCCGACTTTACGAGAGTTGCTTTACCATCGGTCAAGTATTATGCTCAGATTATTTGGGAGCTCATGAAAAAGACAGAACGACGTAGTCTCTGCTTGGTGCTATCCGTTGATTCAGATGGACAAGAACTTGCGGACTCAATGACTCAAGTGGCAGAAAAGGAGAAATGGTTTATCAACAAGATATTTTGGCTTGTCGAGAATAATGTGCCGTCAATTAAAAATATCTCAGCTTCTCTATCATTTCTTCAAAGCGACGTTGTAGTGGTACACAGCAGAAATGAAGACAATGGAGTTTTGCTTGGACTGCTGACGGAAAACAACACTTCGCACTCTTTATGGGTTGTTACTGATGTTACGATGTTTGGGTTATCAAATGTTCACATCCTTCCAGATGGCTTGATAAGAATCAACGCTAGGAGTGAGAATATTGACTCTACTTTTTACTCAGACGCTATTTACGATGCTCTTCTCCTTTATCAAGCTGCATTGCAAAAAGCGCTTGGGATGGACTTACATCAGATTACTGAAAATGTTTGTTATGAATACAATGGAGATATTGGGAGTCTAATTTATAGGTAAGTTGTTTCGCCGAAAAAAGGGGGAAAACTCCTCTACTTTAATTTTACTAACTCGAGAAATCTACACTTATCCGGGATAAGTGTATATTTCACGGAACTGAAAGCTACTGATACAACATCCAGTCATGTGATTTGTTCTTAAGTACAGTAAGAAAGATGATAAGTTTTGAGCTCGGTAAAGAAACAGAGGAAGTCACGTGCGTGGGACAAAGAAAATTCTGAGTTCCCATGAGGAATTGAACCTCAGACTTTCGGATTCCGCGCTCCGATGCTCTACCACGGAGCCGCAGAGACTCTATTGTGAGCAAGGCTCATTACGAAGGTAATGTATGACACGCGTCCTGCATACTGCTAGGATCAATGGCGTTATGTTTGTAAACAGAGAAAGAAGGATGGTAAGTCTTGAGCTCAGTAAAGAAATGGAGAAAGATTTTTTTGTCACACACACTCGTGACAATACGAAAAACATCTTTTTTAATTTGTTCTTGTTTTCACGTGACTATGTTCCCACCGATAGAGGCGCTATAATTTTAGTTGGTAACAAAGATCGTTGTGAAGTCATGTGGCTGGGCAATGGAGTATTTGGTTTGATGAAATAGTTATCTAGTGCTAGGTCTTTTCGTCCTAGTCAATTCTCACACGGGTCTCCTTTGGCGAATTAAAAATGACATAAGTAAAGTTACAAGGTTAAACTTAGTATTCAGCAGCAGTTTTACGCCAAAACGTCCTTGGAGCTAATTTATTTCTTCTCACGTATTGTTTTCTTTTTTAACATGCAAGGAATGTAAAAGATTCATACCTTGAAGGCTTAAGTTCTCTGTTCGTGGAACCTTCACTCCACAAGAAATCAACGACATCATTTGAAATATGGAACCTTCGAGGTGATAAAAATGGTGCAAAATGTTGGACCCTTGTTGGGCTGAGTACGCCGAGTGGTTTTGCGCTTGACACCGTAAGGGTCCCAAATGGGAGCACTATCACCCCACCTGCTGTGCCAATGACACATGTGGTGCGAGTTCCTGTGAATGAGTACAGTCCTTGGGTCCAAATTGAGGACTCTCGCATAGATGGCAGGGGGAGTTACTATTGTATCGGAAGAGGACAACTTTGTTACAAATATCACAACGGAAGCAGAATAAAAAAGAGTACTCTTTGTTGCTCGGGTGTCTCCATCGATCTGCTTGTCATGATGCAGAACGAGTTGGGGTTTCAGAGCGAGATCTACTTCACTCCAGATGGTAACTACGGCGATTTTGACGAGAACAAGGGTATGTGGAATGGAATCGTTCAGGAGGTGGTATCAGGACAAGCGGATTTCGCCATTGACATATCAGTAAATTCCATAAGAGCAAAGTACCTTGACTTCGCTCAACCTTTTGTCCACGTCGCTTTGAACATTTTGGTTTTGAAGGATTTGCGAGTAAATGACGGTGAGGCTAACGAGGTTTCTTTGTTTAATGATGAAAATAAAATGTTCCAGGATAATTAAGGTGGTCAAACATATTAATGATAATGATAATAATGATGAAAAAATCACGATCGTAATCATCATCATGGTAGAAACAATCAACAAACTGTCTTTTCACTTCAAGCTTAACTGTCATCAAATTGGTTTTAAGGAAAACGACTCTTCTTACCTGATCATGGACTGACGTGAGAATACCTGTAGAAATTTAGACTCTACACAGCCCGTTAAAAATTAGTTGATAGGTCCAATGAGCGGGGAAACGTCTGTCAAGAGGACTCGTTACTACCGATGTCTTCCTCTGCCTACCATTTTTGCCATTATCAATTGAGTGAACACCAACAGGATGGACCTTTAGAGTCAATTTTTTTCGGACAAATAAACAAAGAAAGATAATAAAACAATTTTTAGAAATCAAACTCAAATAATTTTGGTACTGCGTTCATTCGTCATCTATCTAGAATTAATGACAGGTGTTATGTAGCTTTTGTTACAAGATTTGGAAACATGAAATCAAAACCGAGACATTGCATTGTTGAACCAATAAAAATCCTTGCATCATTCAGCTTATTATATGATCACCCATACGTCATAGGCAAGAACCAATCAAAATGCATGTGTCATTCAGCTTATCATAAAACCTGATTTGTTGCATAGAAATTCAGTGGACTTCTTGGCTGGAGCCTTTTCAGTATGAACTGTGGTTCTTCATACTCGGATTTATCAACATCATTTTACTTGTAACTTGGTGGATTGACCGGAAGAGTCCATATGGACATTATCGACAAGTTGATAGCGGAGACGATGGTTTCACATTACTAGGTATATTATTGTTGTTGTTTTCATTTCTAGTTCCAACTTTAAACTTATTATTCTCCCTAAGCCTCCTTCGGTATAGACTGTTCAGTAACATCAACTGATCTCATTCCTTAGTTCTGAAATTATTTGTGTTTGTTTATTTAAACTAAGTTGTTATGTATATTTCCTATGCTTTTTAAGTTAACATTTGCCATTACATTTCTTTTCGTTTTGGGAATATTCCCTCTCATCAAACGGTTATTTTTTGGTCTCATATGCATATGCTTTGGAGGAAATTTGTATCTTACAACAAAGAACCACAGTGATATGGTAACGAAGCGCCTTTTAAATTTCATCCTTCATTCAAATTATTTGAGATGGAATGGCCACTTCGCACATATGTGGAAATAAAAAGTTTCGTATTAGCTCTAATAGTAGTCTACAATGCTCTGATCTTGATGCCAGTGTAGCACCATATATCATCACACTTACTTCGTATCAACAGACTCTATGACATACGTATGGGGAGTTGCGTTCGGAAAAGACATAGGTGCTGAAAAGACTCCCCATAGCAGTAGTGCAAGATGTGTCTCTACATTCTTTGCATTCTTTGCTTTAATTGTCGTCAACACTTACTGCGCAAATCTAATGGCTTTTTTAGTCCAAGAGGAGTTTGTACTTCCTATCAGCGGAATACGGGACGAAAAGGTAATTTTTTCCGATCAATATCCAGTTCTAACAAAGACTGGCGAGCCTTTTGATGCTAACTTTAACATGAACTAATAAAAAATTATGATGCAAACTAATTTCAATATCAATATTCACTAATTCGACTTCAACTTCCCACATAACTTCTCACTGTGTTTGGGTAAGGCATTTTTCAGTAAGGTGTGTTTGGACGATTTTAATTGTGTCACGATAGAAATTTACCTGCTCTCCGATAGTAACGCACTGTAACATTGTTATGATCTCCCCTCATTGCCAGTTAATTGGCATCAAATTTTTATGGTCACCTCTTTATAACCTGTTGGGGACGGCGGACTGATCCCTTCCCAATCCCCCTGAGAACCATGCGGTCTCACCAGAATCCTCCCTTCCTATGGGATAGATAATCACTGTTCCCTTAATACCTCTTTATCGGGCCTGTGAAAAGGGAAAGGGTCACCGTGAAACCGTGACTTACAGCCTTTTCTATATCTGTCACTTGCTACAGATTCGACATCCGTCTCTCATGCCGCCCAACGGTTTCAAGCTTGGAGTACAAGAAAATTCCCAAGAAGAGAGCTATTTTAAATTTCACAGCGAGGACATGTTTCGTGAAATTTACCAAGTCAACTTACAAGTCAATTTTGTGAGAAATTTCGCAGATGGCCTTGAAAAATTAAAAAACAGGTAAGGCAAATTAAAGAGAGACAAGAAGAATTTATGTTGGTAAACAAATGAGAACTTTCTGTATAGCCATGAATCTGGGCATGCCTCAGCAGTGGTTTTCGACACACGACGTGCTTTTGAGGGTTGTTACTTGAAAGTCAACAGGTTTGGTATAATGCTGAAACTCGTGACGACAACAAAGCGATCAAAGTGTGTAATTATGCGAACCGCACTCCACTGCGGTTCGTGCATATGTATGAGCATTGTTTTTCATTGTCACATGTCTCTCTCGGGAAAACTTGCTCTCAAGTACGCACGTGTAGAATAATTTACGCATACGTAATGAATAACACACTTTGATTGTGTTGAAGTCCTAATGTAGTGGGTCGTGATGTGTGATCACACAGGTCATAATGTAAATCTTGAAAGCCTATTAAGCATCACGATTGCAAAAGGTCTTTATGCACCTTTTTGGAAATATTTGAGTATCGTGTAATTTCATGAATTTTGAAGGATTACAGTTCCTAGTTAAGGTTAAAATAAGTTTTTACTGGATAAAACGACTTTTAGTTTTAAGATCACAAAATGGGGGTACGCAGGGGCTGGGCAGCAAATCCTGACATGTCCACAACATAGTCTCAATGCAATTTTTCTTCAAAATGCGCAAGACTTGGCACAAAAGTGAAAGGGTAAAGGGCACTCACCAAACCTCAATCTCGCGTTGAGTTAGCCGCTAGTGCTAGTAGGACGACGGTAGATAAGTGATGCACAAATCTCTGACACAGCTCCTCATGAAGGAAAAAAGGACGGAAATGCAAACACAGGCACAAAGAAAACTAAAGGAAAAAACTAACCAAACAAATCCGAATTCAATTAGTATTATTGAAATTAGGGAATTACCACCACATTTTTATTTCTAGGGTTTATCCGTTTTAAATTCTCATTTTTCTTCTCACTTTTAAGGGAAATCCACGGATTGGTCGGAGATCATCTTTCATTGAGCCAGGTCGCTAATAACGACATTGACTGTTCCTACAGTTTAGCTGGACCAAACTTTTTCAACTTTGGATTGGGGATAGCGCTGCCAAAGGCTTCACCATGGCTACAAGATATCAATCAAGCGGTGCTTAAACACCAAGAAAATGGGGCAATAGAAACCATAGAACAGCGATGGTTCAACAAAAAGACCTGCGATTTAAAACCATTCAAACAGCTTGAGATAATAAATCTGAGCGGTTTGTTCATGACAGTAGTTATTGTTATTGCCTTCTGTGTACTGGCGATTTTCTTGGAGTTCGGCGTAGTCATTGCCATAATGAAGTTTGGCGACCGTCTCGGTGCAATAGGAAAGTTCATGAAGAACTTTGTTTTGAATGTGAAGGAAGGTGAAGAAGCACATCTCAAAATGCAATATTCGTTTATATTCAGACGCCATCGAAAGGAAAGCTGGGATATTGCGGCTGCTAATGCGAGAGTTGAGAGAATCACAGGAGTGGAGCTTGGTTTTCATAACAACGAATACTGCTTCTCTCAAGAACAGCCGCTGGGTCACGTGAACTCTGACATGAATGGCAATGGGCATATCACAACGAATAGAGTTTCCCAAATGAACACCCATGCACACGTCAACGGGCACATGAGCCATAGCAGAACTAGAAAATTGAAAGAAACTGAAATGATGACAAAACTATAACATGAACTTTAATGAGCGTTCCTTCTAAACTGTATAATTTGTATAGTTATCATACACACCGAACTGTATTTAATGACGCTTGCGTTTTGGAAAGACTTGTTTAATATGACACCATTAAATTTTGTTAATCTTGGCAACGCAGCTCGTCATGAAGAGCTGCACCACCTTGATTTCTTGACGTTTTCAATGCGTCTACATCACGTGATAGTCTGGGCCGCCCATTTAAGGTAGCTCCTAACCTCAATTGGAACGCTTTTATCAAGTATAACCCAAATCACTGTCTATCATATATTAAAGCAGCAGAGCAAACGACAGAAGAAAAACTAAAATAGTTCTTGCTCCATGGGTTTGCTTACCCATGACCCATACTTCGATGAGCTAAAATACTCGTACATCATCTGCTTCGCTCTTTGGAATTCAGTCGCCATCTTCTTTGCTTCACTGTATGTTTCAACGTTCACCAGGTCTTCACGACCGACTTTGGTACCAATTTCTTTGAAAGATGTATAAAGCGCGGCCTTACATACACGCGAAGGAGTGGGGCTGTTATTTGTTCGTGACATGCATGCTCCCGTTCTACCATCAGTGACCTCAGCGCCCGTGTCTCCAATTGACCAATTAACACTAAGATTATTTGTCTTTTCTGTTTCACGCGGTGGGTCGTATGCGGTAACACGACCAAGCCACGGGTGATTCACGTGATATGGAGGCGACAGCTGCGCGTTGAGGTCACTGTTGTATTGAAGGCGGCAACAAACTGCGCGCGAGAGATGACCATGGTCGTACAAGTATCCAAGTGTCAGGGAAGTTAGGTAAACCGGCTCGATGAAGTGACTAAGAAGTGCGCCTTGAAGTCCCAAAACGTTCCAGCGACAAATCTTGTCACTACACGACATGGTGCGTAACCGTTTACCTCGTAAAAGCCCGTCCCATGTTTGAATACCATCAGATGAATCAATTGGAATAGTACCCTCGCCAACTTCGATCTTTGTTCGCAGAATGCCCTGTTGCTTGGTTGTAAATATAGGATTATGCTCTTTGGAGTATTCAGAGAGGTCAGAGTTGGGCTCCTCTCGGGGAGTGAACAAGGCACCGTCACCACACGGAGCTGTACTGATGTAAAGGTGAAATGAGACACCTTCGCGAACATCAAGCTTCGTTGACCCCTCTTTCGGTACAAAAATAGAATCATTTCCATCGTAGTAACTATTTAATTGTCCGTAAAAGAATCGCATCAGAGACCTACGAGCAACAATTTCAGCATGAGAATCGTTCACCACTTTTCCTTCCATACTCAGCCTCTCTCCAGTGACGCAACGGTTACCAGTTCCCACGGCAACAACTCGGCCAGAGTCTTCTGGGCTATTTTTCATAATCATGCATGCCACAACCTTTCTACCAGCAAATTTTTCGGAGATGGAGGCTGCAATCTGCAAGAATTTATGAAGTGAAAGTGCAGCTATCAGATCAAAATGCGTGCTAACTTTGCTCAAAACGCTTGCAGAAGGGTCAGTGATGGCCAAAGATCCCTCTTCGATACCTTCGTTCATATTGCGACCCAGTAGGGTTCTCAGAGCAACATCTGAGGCTTCACGCCTTGCATCTTTCATGTTTCGTGCTTCTGCCGAAGGGAATAGTTTTCCGTCTATCTTAGCAGCAACCACAAATGCACGACCTTTGCTAAGTGTTTCGAACGTCAGCTCCATTCTATTCTTTTGCACGTACTCGTTGAGAGCACTAACAGGATTTTTGTTGATGGCGGAATAAGCGACATTGGAGAGAACGTCTGGAGGATTTTTTCCTGATCCAAGAGAAGATGCAGGTTGTGCCACTGGGTTACTCTTAAAGCTGGGCGAGAGCGTTCCTCGCTGGGAAGGCCCAAATACACCCACCCCACTCCCGGAAGGAGTCGGAGAAGTATCCGCTGGCTGAAAGTGTTTCTTAGCTCCTAACTGCTCATGTCCTTGCTCATCGGCAGTGGGAAATGCTCTTTTCTGGGCAGGTGCAGAAGAGCTGACTTCAACCGGCTTTAAACCTTTGAATGTCAGAGAACTCACTTCTTGACGCACCTTCCACGTTGGTGGATGTTCGTGCATCTTGTATATCAAGCCCAATGACTGCAGTTTGTAAAGAGTTGGGTTGATCTCCTTCTTTCTGTGCAGACCAAATTGCCGGGCCAAATGAAGAGTTTGAAAAGATTTTCTTTCTCTTTTCATTACGTCCAGCACCCCCGCTTCGAGGTCACTTAGCGTTGAAGCTTGATGAGGTGTACAAGCTATGGGGCTCTTGGTCGATATTGGAACTGCCTGGGGTCCACGGCTGACCAGCTCACGGAAACGTTCCGCTGAAGGGGGGAGAGGAATCCTATCAGCTCCCTGAGTTACTGAAGCATGCGAAGAATTGTGGAAAGACATAGTAAGAGCTTGTTGTGCTAATGGCGGCTTCTTCTGTGGAGTTGATCCATACCCAAAGGAGCCACTCATAGAATGGGACACTTGAGGCTGTGTGAAGGGAACTGAACTGACGTTGGATGACTCGTTTAGAGAACTCGTGGTTCCGTCCTCCTGCAAAGCGTTGGTCTCTCTAAGATACCCTCGGTTTTTTCGTGTATCAGGTAGGTTGACAGCATCAGAGTTTGATGACATTTTAAAAGTAACATGTGAGTTCAAGGGCGTTTCAAGATCCATGAGTGATTGTGGCGAAAATCGTGATGCTACCGCTGAAGGTCGACTTGGTCGTGGAACTAAAGATTGTATCGGTGGACGAGGTGGTTGAGACCTTGTGGAGTGCAGATTTGGACGTGACGTAGAGCAAAAGGTTGGCCTGGCTGCAATGACAACTGGACTTGGTTTCCTAGAACACTGTGACATCATGGTGCTGTAGAAATGAGCCGAGGGAGGCGGAGGAGGACCTCCTGCTAACGATGCGCTTCCCTTTCGGCTTGAGAGAGGATCAGATATAGACTGCCTAGGTTGAAGAGATCCACCATGGTTTGTGATCGGAAGACGCTTACTCTGACTAATTGCAGGACTAATAGTGGATGATACCCGCTTTGCTTCTACTCCCTCTTCACTTTCATCTGATTCATAGTCCGGCACTAGTGTCTCCAAGGGTGGCATATCTTCTGCCGCTTTATCGTCATCCTTGCCTTCCTCGGTTGTTTCTGCAATTCTCCACATAGGAGGCATTTGCAGGACTTTTATGATCCTTTCCTCCTGTTCCAGTTGATTGATACACTTGTTCACTTTTTCTTCAGTGGCAGATATGGAAATATTGTGCAGAATATCACTAAGAGCACACGGATATGGTTTGCTTTCAATAATATTTACAATCTGCTTCTGAAGAGTACTGATTTCTCTATCTCCTGACTGTGGCCGAGTCAGTGCTTTTAGTTGATTACCTGTAGATGAAATTTCTCTAAGACCATCAACTTTCTCCTTCAGCCCTTTCTCATCTATTTCCCCCCCAATTTCGAGACACTCTTTGATATTTTTACCCTCTGTTGAGGTGCCTGAAAAAAATGAAAAGAAAAAAGGAAGTTTGTCACTACTTTGATCAAAAAAACATTGGAAAAAGTTTCGCAAACTATCTGAGGAGTCATTTTTGGTACAAAAACTAAACAAAGATCAAACTTCAGGCAAGAATTTACTTGCACTGACAAAGAAGGGGTGTGGGTAGTTAAAATGCAGTTGAACCCAGCTAACTCAAATTACTTAGGGAAACAGAAATTATTTCAAGCTATTGGGGTTTCAAGTTAGAGAGGTTTTGGACAAAAAAAAAACAGAAAAAACTTGATTTAAGAGGTTTTGTGCTTATACATGTTTTAGTGTAAGATTTCTAGCAATGTAAGAATATAAAAACAACAAAGCAAAACAAAACAAAACATAGGTCAATTTGTCATAATATGTAAGTGAGATTATAAGTAATTTCCAGTGCAAAATGTTATGGCTCATTAGTCTGCAAAAAGTGAAAATTAACTTTGAGTTATCAAGGGTAAAATTACAAAGAAGAGTACCTGAAAGGCCGTAAAAATTGCTTTTAGTTATCAGGGTTTTGAGTTATAGGGGTTAAAATTACAGTAAAAATATGTGGCAATTCCTAGGGAAATCAATTTTGCTTCAAGTTAGCCAGGAACTCAAGTTACCCAGGGTTCAAGTTATGGGGGTTCAACTGTTAAAGAAAGTGGGGCTGAATCCATAAAAAAATGGTTAGACTAAAGGGAAGGACAAAAAACTTCTACAAATTGGATCCCAAATTAAAGGAGTTACAAAAAGATTTATATCAATTTGTCTGAAATTACACATTTGTCATGCAAAAAGCCAAAAGCACCAAGAATGGCACACCAAAAACAGAAAAAGATATGACAGAAGATGTAATGGAGGCAGTTACCACCTTTAATTTGATGGGAACAAATGCATTTCTCATGGTTCATTGCCATTATACTTTCAAACAATATCTCTCAGTTTAGAATTGATTCACTTTGCTTTTCTTTACATAAGACAAAAATACATTTATAGAATGCTATAGCTTGGAAGAAACATTGAATCGGATCCAGCGATGGCTTTGACACGAAAGAGATTAACTTCGATAAATGGGATATTTATACTCTATTTACACATATGGACGTAAAGCCTGAGCAGAACAAACTTAACAATGCCAAATGCTCAAATCCACAGCTCTTGCCACGAGGTATTTTAACGAACTAGGAAACGGAAGTAAACTGTTTCGTAAAATCTTACTTACAATTCGCTTTCTTCAAAGACAGCTGAGAAAAGGAGCGAAACATACTAGCAGGCAATTTTGTTAAAGGACCAAAGGGTTATGAACTGCTTTCCTCCTTCGATTTTCCTTTCTGCAAACGAAAGCTCGCCTAGGATCTTTTAAGACGTCGAGTTCAAAAGCGAAAGACCTTCAATAAGAAAATGGGAAAAATCTGAGTGTAAATTATTAAAAAATCCCCGAAGTAATTTCTTTCAGTTTCGAAAAAAAGAATAAAGAAATCATTGAAATAAAATAACATTTGGAAAGAACTCGGAAATTACTACAGAAAATATGACAATGTATTGAAAAATACCTCTTCTAGATATGCAGTATCAAATCTGGCACGATTAAGTATTTTGTATGTTCCACATACCGTCATTTGCGTGCGACGTCAACGTGTCTGCGGTTGCTGATATGTTGCGATCTGTACCTTGTCGGGGTTCCCACTTTGGAGTTATTTCGTATGTCTATACGATGGCCTCTTGATGAAATAGCTCAACTATGGCAACAATCACTGAAGCGTTGCTTCAAGTCGCGAGGCACTCTATGATTTAGTGCGCTGAAAATTCCCAGACAGCTCTCACCCTTTCAGTTTCAATTCGGCCGCCATGTTTTTATTACCCATCATTCACTGAGCTTATTTGTTTATACCGCTGATCAGCTGAGTCTGGGGTATAAACAAACATGGATGTCAGACCGTTTGACCGCCAAATTACAAAAGGAATTTTTGAGGGAAGATTTGACTAATTGCATTGTGTTCATGGAATTCAAAAGTACTGGATCGCAACGAACTTGATAAAATGACAGAAGTTCCAGTAAAAGTTGCTGTTCGGGTACGTTGCTATGAAAATCAGCGCACTGATCTGACATATCTAGGCAATCACTAAGAAATTTGTAATTGGCTCGTTTAAGTTAGGGGGGTTATTGTTGGTCTTGCATTTATTTTATTTTATCCTACTATTTAATTTTATCCCCATGTCCGCTAAAGAACACTTTTGTAGATTTTTTAGATCGTGGGCGGCTAATTTTATCGAATAGTGTTTGAAAGTAATTTACTTGAGCATTAAAATCCTTCGCAGCCGTTCTTTTGGATGTCACACAAGGCTCATTCGATTGGAAGCAGAGAGAGAGTCACTGCGAAGTCAGAAGTGAGGACCTGTAAATGGAAATTAAAAAAGTCAAAGAAAATGTTTTCCCCATCACTGTGCAACCCCCCAATTACTTTTTCAAATATTTTACCACTTAGACATAAAACACTTGGGCAGGTAGATAATATTCAGGATAGTCACATTTACCAATAGTTCCCATAAATGCAATGCCTTGGTGAAGATTTATTAAAGTAACTCATCACAATTTAACTACAATCATTAGACATTTTTTCTCATGTGCAATTGGTTTACACTCATCATGTGACCAATATGCCATTAAAATCTAGGGAATAATCAGATAACATTTTATATCCTCCAATGTTTATGCCTTGGGCACACTTTGATGAAAAAATGTAAAAGTGTAGAGTATTTTGCCATTGTTACAGAAGAGAGACAAACTCAGTAAAAGTCTTTTGCATTACATGGGAAGTAAGGAGCAATTCAGGGGCCTTCAAATGGGTTAATATCTAAGCAATTTTTTTCAAAGCATGTCATTGTGTTATGCCCTCAGGTACGCCCTTTGGTTGGCAAGGAGAAAGTCCACAATGTCCCACAGTGTGTGCGCTTTATTCCAGAGAAGCCTCAATTGATCCTTGGAAAGGACCGGGGATTCACATTTGATTATGTGTTCCCTCCAAAAGCAAGTCAGGTAATGAATTTATTATTAATACAATGTGCGTGTTTATTGTACTGTGTGTATATAACAAACATGCGAAATCGGGTGATGATGTAAATGAAGGGCTAAAATCAGAAGAAAAGACCTGATCACCAATAATAGATTACACAAGAGCCAAAAACTATCTTTCAGAATATGTTGTACCAGTTGCAGTAGATTTAGTCTTGTCCTTTTTGAGTTAATAAGAAGAGTATAGAAAAATGCCAAAGAGGGGGGACACATTTGGATGATTTAAGTTCCATCAGGGAGTGTTCATTTAAAGAGCTCTTTTTTAAATGGGAATGCTTTTCAAACAAACTTTGTAATAAATGCTGATGTAGGAAGTTCACAATGGGTTTTGGAAAAGAGCATATAGCAGGTAAGTTAAGGAAAAATACTTCATGTCTGATTATTTCTTTTTCCATGCAAGAATAAACTCAATATTTCATAGAAGATGGCAAGTTGTTGATTTTTAAGAGTTTTTCTTTAATCTTTGTCATCAGACAGAGGTTTATGAAAAGTGTGTGGAACCATTGGTGAAAAGCTGTATGGAAGGATATAATGCCACTGTGTTTGCTTATGGACAAACTGTGAGTGCTGTTGTGATGCTCTGTTCATTCTTGTTGCTTTATTGCCACATCTAATATCATAATAGCAGTAGGTTTGTAAATAGCAACTAGTAAATCTTGAGGTTACTGTGCTCAAGTCTTGTAGCTGTAAGCTCAAAATTGTCTTGCAAAGTCATGGTTGGTGTGTGTACATGTAAATGTGATTTGATATTTATAGGTAAAGTGTTCAATATAAAGCCCATCTCTGGTGTAGGAACCCATTACATACATGTGTAAATTGAAGTCAAAACAGTGTACCGGTGGAAAATTTTTTAGTGAAAGTTTGTTTACAAACTAAGGAAACTCCATAGTTTCTTACAAGGTAAACCCTAAGATACCAAGAAATAGCATGTACATACATGTAATGAAGAAGTTTTCTAACACTTTTTCAATCAGTTAAATGTTTATTTGTATGACAGAGCTCTGGGAAGACCTATACAATTGGTGGAACTGACAGTGCTGGCCTTTTGGAAGAACAGTATGGGATCATTCTTAGAGCTGTTAAACAACTTTTTCAGATTATGGAGGTAAATGTTAGCACAGGGAAATGCAGGATTTTCAAAAAGAGTTTGCAGAGCATCATGTAACAGGATTTTAGTCATACCTTTCTCTAAGGGATTTAAACCTTGGAGTAAAAGTGGATTGTTTTAGGGGATCTCCTCAGTGAGGGGCAAGAACCACAGGGCACCTGTTTGCTCAGAAGGTTATCATTCCAACAGAGATAGAGATTGTATCACTTTATAAATAACTGATATTTCATTTGTGAACTAGCATCATGCTCTATTTACCTACAATTGATTCTTCAAGGGAAGGAATTTTTATAGTTCTTATTTCACCATATTGAATCTATTGCCATGTTTGACTTGTCATGAGTAATGGGTAAAGAAAAGATGATGAAGTGAAACATTAAGTTACAAATTTATGATTTTAGGATTATAAAAATAATTATTCCAGGAGTGTGCATTGGATATGAGATGAGAGATAGCCAACATGGTCCATAGGGCTGAGTTGGGTATAATTGCCTCATATCTGACAAGTGTGAGTGGTATAAGTATTTTAAAAAACACCCAAAAATATCGATAAATCTTCCCAACTTTACTTTGTAACTTTTTTTTTTTTGATGTGTACACTTACTGAAGCATGGTGTAATGGCTCATAGCCCATGATGGCTAAGCCAATGAAAACTCTTGCATTGCATTATCCAAAGATCCAGTTCTTAATAATGATGATTACAATGATGATGATGATGATGGTGGTGATGATGATGATGATTATTATAATTATTAGGATTTAAGTTCGTTTAACCCCACCAGTTTGCCATCTATAGCCAGGTGTCATCTCTGGAGGTGTCAGGCAAAAAATTAATATTTTACTCACACTTACCCACAGCTGTAATCATTTTCATGATCATGATGATGTCATCTATTCACTCAAAACTGTTGATAACACTATAATCCCCAAAATAACTCATATCCAGGTTTTTTTTCCACAGGAAAACAAACACAAAACAGAGTTTGTTGTGACTGTATCCTATGTTGAGATTTACATGGAAGAGTTGAGAGATTTACTCGATATGGATACATCCAGCAAAGATATTCATGTCAGAGAGGATGAGAAGGGAAATACAGGTACTGCTATAATACAATCGGCAGAAGGCTTACTGCCGTAGTGTTGTTGAGTTTTGTTGTACCAAATTTCGTGCACGAAGCGAAAGAGTTAGCCCTTATATATCCCAAACTTAATCATCTGCTTTAACGAAGAAAGGAAATACCTTAAAAAGTCAGTAAGAACTTAAAATAAAGCCGAAAAAATTGCCTAAAGCGCGGGAAAACGTGAGAGACCAAATCGCGAGTGGTTTGGATAATTGCATTTGATTGGTTGAAAGAGTGACGTGAATTTTATGGACCAATCATAGACTGAGGTAAAGTCAAAACAAACCAATTTCGGATTATTTTCCTCACTCAAATGAAAATTGCTCTCTGTAAGTGATCTTGCTGCAAGTCACTAGAAAGGAGGCTGAGTATAAAGGCATTCTTATAAATTGCTGGCTGCTGTGCCAAAAAAATCTCATTTCTCCATCTCAAAAAATTTGAAGCTTTTTGTCTTCGATTGTCGAAATAGAAAAATACCATTGGAACTCAAAGTAAAAACAGGCAATTTTCCAAAAGCGTGGGAAAACGCATCTTATTGGTTTAGGGAATGGCGCGAGATTTCTAGACCAATCGCAGAGCGAAATAAAGCAAAGCCAGAGCAATACCGAATTACTCTTGACTCGCAAATAAAAATGGCTCTATCAGGTACAGAATTTTTCCTCTCTTGTTTCAGTTATTGTAGGAGCCACTGAACAGCCAGTGAACACAGCAGATGAAGTTATGAGCTGCCTGGACTCAGGATCAGCTGGGCGGCAAGTGGGCACCACGAATATGAATGAACGCTCCAGCCGATCACATACGATTTTCACTCTATATGTTGGTAAAGAAAAGTCTAAAAACAACATTGACTTTTACGTAGATGTCCAGTTCTAAGTATTAAGCAGCGAAGAGGGGCGAAGTGGCAAGTTGAAAAATTGGCAATTTCAACTTAGCAATCTAATTCGTTCGGAACGAGGTTGCGTTAGCGATAGATTTTGATTGAAGGGGGAAAGCCCAAATTAGGTGTATAGCCCACTTTTTCAATGGAAAGATGCATAGACAAAGACACAAGGATCTCCTCTCTAGCTTGGGTAGCTGGTCTTTTAATGGACGTTTTAGGTTGACAAGCGATGCAGTTGCAAAAACGAGTAGCGGAGCCGCGAAAAGTTTCGGACGTTTGTTACTTAGGTTATCCCATATCCCTCCATTGCTTCTTCATGTAATGAGCTCTTGCTTTTACACGCGAGTATTTTGACAAAAATACCTCAAATTACAACTTTTTTGAGCTTAATGTGGATTTAAAGATTAGTTATTGACATTAAGAGTTAAATTTATGAGATTATGACGTTAATTTTTTCACATTCACAAATTACTTGTTATTCGTATCCTCATTCTTGCTTCCTTTGATTTCTTGAAAAAAAGAGCAAAAACCTCTGGCTGAAGATGAGCATGTTGACAGTGAGAAAAAAGAGCGACATGGGTAAGAAATTTAGTATATATGTATATATGTCTTGGCAGGCCTTTCAATAAAAGCAAGTCACCAGATCTCTCACCACCGTCTGTTTAGCCTCGAGCAGCCTCTCGTGTTTGTGTACCGCCTCATGGCCTCTTTTCGGACCCAGTCCCCTATTACAACATCGGCAGCTGCTTATAGAGAAAGTTATTATAACCCATGTCTTGGTATTTTTTTGTTTCCTTGTTTGTGCGTGTTTTTTTTTCGATCGTATTTCCGTTTTAAGCAATCTTTACTAACTTGGTAAAATGATAAAACTGCGCTTTCTTTGGCCTATCTTCACTCTTTTGTTCATAGATAGTTGGGCACCGTAGACTAATCATTGATTTCTCTTAATTATTTGTCAGACTTCACAGATTACAAGTATGCTAAGTTTCACTTCGTTGATCTTGCTGGTTCAGAGAGAGCTCATCGAACAGGAAACGTCGGTGAAAGGTTCAAGGAGTCTGTGTACATTAACAGTGGTTTGTTAGCACTGGGAAATGTGATTAGTGCTCTAGCGGACTCCAAAAAGAAGGTATGCAAAGAAACGTATTATGATACTAGAAAGGTGTATTCATGCAAGACATGGAGGCCTATTGACTTGGTACCAGTTCAAAATACGCATGGTTTTCTCGTTACTTAAAGCTTCTGTCTTTTTCGTTAAACTTATGTCATCTACATGAAGCATAAAGGCAATAAGTAATGTTTTGACCTTGTGGATGAGATAATGTCACAAATTGACGCGTTAACTGCAGCTATTAAAGTAATTAATGATCATAATTTAGCCTTTCAACGTCAAGTCGCGCTTAGTACATCGTCTAGTGAGTCTTCTTCATTGAGTGGCTCCTTTGCAAGCCGCGATGCCTGCTCCCAGTTACAATACCCTTAATTCTGGCTCCTTTAAAGTCCATCTGAGATCAACTTTTGCGATATTAGTGTTTTGTCGCAGAAGCGCGGTGCCAGTCCAGTGCCATTCTATTCTTGCAAGGGGAGCTCTTATGTTTTTTCTTTGACCAGTTCAAAAGGCTCGTTGCTGTCAACCTGTTTTTGTAGACAATAAGTGTGAAAAAATTCAGAATTTGACCTGCACAACTTACATGACCGGAAGTGAGTCTTCAATTTTACCTTGCTGCATTTTCTGATTGCCTTTTTAGGTCCTCCATGTTCCTTACAGGGACAGTAAGGTAACAAGACTGCTAAAAGATTCCTTGGGAGGCAATTCCAGAACATTGATGATAACGTGTCTCAGTCCTTGTGCAACAGACTTTGCGGAAAATTTGAATTCCTTAAAGTATGCCACGAGGGTGAGTATGTTGGACCTTAGTTTAAAGCGAAAGAAAAGGAAACTAATGCAAGACTGAGTCTAAACTAAGACTTATGAGTACGTCAGGTAAAGCGAAGATTGTCGCACACAATATTCCCTTCTTTTTAGGCTAGAAACATTCGCAACAAGCCAGTGGTTAATCGTGATCCACAAAATACAAGACTGGCAGAAATGCAAAGCGAGATACAGGTAAAGTGATCTTATATCAGTGTGTGTGTTGGTGAACTTGATTCACTTGAATTTTAAGAAAATACCCCAAAATATCCTATTGCGAACTCCAAGACCATGTTGGGTTATTTAACGTAACCTACATCTAATGAAGACACAAAAAGCGCTCGCTCTCAGACTTCACTAATATGTAATGGCATCAAAGGAAGAAGCCTTTGTCAGCCAGATAGTGCCAGCTAAAAGTACAATATTTGACAAAAATCAGTTATCGCTTGTTGTTAGGTGTTACTTTGCCTCCTGCCCCCTGTCCGTCCCTCTCTCCCTAGGTTTGAACCTTAAAGTTACACCTGTGTGATTCTCTCGCGTTAATCGTGGCCCTCACTCTTTTTGTCTTTTGATGTAGGCTCTCCGTGAAGAACTTCAACGGCGCCGTGGTTCATCTTTTGGGTCTGCCGGTACAGGAGAAGATGCCGAGCGGATCAAGTTGCTAGAGGATGAATTAGAAAGGTAAGGAACTGCGAAAAATCATTTTCCAAATATTGCTGCATTTCAATTTTTTAAAATCCTATTTGTGCACTAAATTAGATTTGACACCACTTCCCCTCCTAGCATGATGTGAGGTATTTCGATATAAACGTGGAGCCAATGAAAAAGAGTTTTTTTTTTGTCTTCTTTCAGATCTCGTGGAGCGTGTGACACATATAAACAGCTTCTTTCCGATGCTTTAAATCAATTAAAAGCTCTGCATAAGGCCAGCGTGATGTCAAATAATCAGTGTAGCCAGTTTGATCGGTTGCTTAAAGCTGTAGAACAGATCAGGTCGAGACCAATCTGGACTCCAAACACCAGTCGTCAACAACAAGCCGACTTGATAGAGCAGCTTAAGAAAGAACTTAACAAGGTAATGGTGATGATTTTGAAGGTTTCAGGATAGACAAAGTTATGCAAATGAAACAGTAAAATTAAGTTTATCGCCTCCCAATTGGCTCTGCCATTTCCCCGTCTAAACCACGAATCCCTTTCCTTCATAGTACAAGGAAGATTTGTCAAGTGATGAAGAAATATTCGCGGAGAAATCAAAGGAGATCGAATTTCTAAGAGAGCATGCGCATAAACTCGAGGAAGAGAAACTTAAACTCAACAACCAACTGCAAGAAGCGCAGAATCGCTTGAAAAAACATGAAGATCAACTATTCCAGCAACAACTCCAGCTTAATCAACTCCTTCTTAACCAAGGGGGTCATCAAGGTACGATTGAAGTTTTCAAGAGATAATTTTTTTTCTGCTTTTTTAGAAAAAATTGTGCGACCAGATTAGATTATCCTTCTGTAAAGTTTAATTCTGTTTACTGGGCTTATTTGTTGTTCTTTTAGAAGACAAAATGGTCTTCTCCAGTCCTCGAGGAACACGTATTCATACTGCGCCATTAGTTGAAGATGGGACGGCGTCTATGAATGATAGAGAAGTTCACAGCAGCCCGCCTGTGGTAAGCATTAACGCGCTATACTGTTCGTTGAGTTAAAAAAAATCCCGAGGGAAATGCTTGAACAAAACCGAGATCAGCAGTAGTGGGGCGCGGAGATTGTTTTTAATCCAATTTTTTTTTTCCGGAAAGAGGTATCCTTGTATAACTCTTACTCCCCCTACCTGCCACACTTTAAGTCTACGTGCCATATTGCCTTAAGAAAGAGAGCCATACACTTGTGAAAGTTAAAGGCCTTTCCATTTCTTACTCTTCTTGCCTTAGGTTCTAAAAAGGAAATTTGATTGCTTCTGTTTCGTGTCTAGTTCATAGTTGACAGAGTCATACAAGATTTCAGAGCACGCAGTCAGTTGCTAGTCAGCCAACACGAGGAGGAAGACGAGGTTGTATGCACCTTGTCAGACAGCAGTGAAAGTGCAGACGAGGTGGATGAAGAACCTTCAAGGTACAAAAAATTAACCCAGAGGGAAGCGAAGGCTAAGTGTAGAATTGTGTGATTTATTTTTAGTAACGTACTAATTGACCGGGATCATTTTGTGCTAACCAACCTCATCCTGTTTACATCAAAATTGAGAGAGACATGCTCGCCTCAGAACATGCACAAGAAAGTTCGTTCTGACTCTGTTTACTTGCTTTTTCTAACATTGGTCGGCATATTTGTTTTTAAATCGTAGAATAATATTTATTTATTCTCAGGGAATTGGGCAGGACTTGGAATATGAAAAGAGAAAGCTCGAAAATACCACGGGTACCTGAGACTGTTCCTAAACAATCAAAGACTTTAAAGATCTTGGGTAACGGCAAGGTGAATGGTTTAAAAACGCTTTGTGTACTTATATTCGTTTTACAAAACATCGTCATGTAAACAAACAAAATACTTTTCCATAGATTTGCACCTCTACCTCCACATATTCTTGCTTTAGATGGTATATGCGTTTGCTGTAATAAACTTGTTCGTGAAATCGTTTGCGTTAGGTCTCTACAAAAGATTTGGCAGAATCGAAGGGCAGAGGGTCAAGACCTGACTCAGCGGAACATAATGAAGTTGAAGTATTGAGGTCGAGTACTCAAGTTATCGGAAACGAAGTGAAACAATCAGAGTTAAGACTCCACTCCGCCCAGCAAAAACTGAGAGATTTAACTATTAATATAAGGTACCGTTGCTCAAAGTTGATCTTCCCCATTCCTCACATTCACGTCTTCTTCGTTTCCCTCCTTCCCCCTTCCTACTTTTCCATCAACCATCCCTTCCCCCAGCTTCTCTCTCCTCCTTCTCCTTTTTTTCTTCTTCCTTGTCCTCTTCCCCATCACCCCTCCTCATCCCTCCACTTCGTTTCTTTCAGCGTCTTCAACCGCCCCTCTCTTGCTGCTCCTTATCCTTCTTGTTTTCCTCTTTTTCCGTGTCATCCTCCTCCTTTACTTCATCATCCTCTCTCTCCCTCTCAATCTACTCCCTTCCCCTCTTTTTTTTTTTTTCCCAATCTTTCTATTCCTTCCCTTTCTTCCCTTCGTTGTCCTTCTCCTCGGTAGCCAGCGCACGTTTTATATCAAAACCTTTTTATCTTTCTCCTTATTGAAAGAAATTAGCTGTATAGTTGCCTCTTACCTCTTTTGTATACAGTGTGATGTTTTGATGATAAATGTTTAGGCAAAAAGAGGAGTTGATCAAGGAACTAGCCAAGAGTGATAGAGAAGCCAAGGACACAAAGAAGCAGTACTCCGAGAAAATAAAGTCCATGAAACAGGAGTTGGAAAAAGCCAAAAAAGAGTTGGAAGAAAGTAAGAAAACTCTGGAAGAATACGAATCTAAAACTAATCACGAAGTCGCGGAGAAACAAAAAGTCGAAACTGAGTATAAGAAAAAGTTGCAGGCGGTGGAGGCCAAGCTTCAGGCTTTGAAACGAAAGCAAAAGGTAAGACTTATGTTTTGGACGTTTAAGCTGCTACAAGTATTCTTTGTTATACTTGGCACTTCTTCGTTCTTTCCAACCGTAAAGACACAGAAGAGAGCTTATCTTGTTTTGCCTACTCGTTAGATGAAATGTCTGAGAATGGCTCTCGTCTCCTTCGGTAAACAGCTGGAACATTCGAGATAGCAGCACCGGAACCTGGACCGTCTTGAAGACCAAGGCAGCGCATTAGGCCGCTGCGTCCATAGCATTCTCTCTTACCCATCTTTTTGTAGCTTGGTATCGGTTCTTTTCGATGTGATCATTCGTAAGGTTTTGAACAGAAATTTTTTGAACAGGAGGTCTCGCAACTGCGTCAGTTGTATCATGTATGGGTCTGCATTTCGAAATTTCTTGTCAAAAAGATAACCTTTTTCCTATTCATTTTCTTTAAATATTCCATAGGACAATGAAAAAATAAGCGCCCTGCACGAAGAGAGGGAAAAGAAAGTTCAGGAACTTGAGGTGCACATTGACAGGATGAGAAATCAACAGGATCAGCTCCAGAAGAAGCTTAAAGAAGAGGCTGACAGGAAAATAAAAATGGAGAGAGAAATGCAGAAACAACAGCACAAGATCAAAGAACTTGAAGATAATATGAGCCAGCAGCAGAAGATACTCAAAAGGAAAACAGAAGAGGTGGCAGCCGCTAAGCGGCGACTTAGAAGTGTTGGCAAACAAGGATCTGAAGAAAAGGAGAGGTACGAATCTTCCTAGATACGGTATTGCATAGAAAGGTTCATTGGGTTAGGAGTAGTCTTCTGAACAAACACTGGCCAGCTTTTCTTAATGTACTACTAAAGAACGAGCGAGATCTCAGATCTCCTTAACCGTTGCGGTGGTTACTCTTGAATTTTACCCTAAACCGAAAAATAATGATACCCCTAGGACGTCTACTGTTCTGTTTATAGCGATGAACAAGCAAAATTAGAGCAACGCCGTCAATGGTTGGATAATGAAGTTGAAAAAGTTTTGAGGAGAAAGGAGGCCATGGAAGCTTTAGCAGAGGAGCTGAAGAAAAGAGAAGCCATCCTACTAAACAAAGAAGCCATGCTGGCCGAGAGAAGTGAACTGGAAATGAAGAAACTACGCTCTAGCCAGATACTTACCAAGGTAAGAATAAAACACATTTTAACTTTTATGTTTTCTTTAAGGAGACACTTCCTTGTTCAAACTATTAAGTCACAGAGAAGAGAAATAGTTTAGAGAGTTAAACCACTTCATTAACCCTTTACACCCTAACATCAGTATGCATATTCTCCATACTGTTTTCCATATATTTTCCAAAGAGGTTGACAAGGAGAATTTGTTTAACAGTCAAGAGCTGCTTTAGCTGGTGATTATCTGCTCTGTTCTCATGACTTTCGTGTTTGATTCAGGGGTGATATAGTAAGGAGAAATTAGATGAACCCTTTAGTCACTCTTAGGGACTAAAGGGTTGAACTCGAATAAACGTCTGGACTCCGACACCTTCTTAATGATGAAATCATTTTCATTTGAATCCTCTAGGATATTCTTAGACTATCTACCCAACTTGGAGAAGTTGATAAACAGATCCAACAAAAGGGGAAAAATGTGGACGGTAGGATTCTGTGTTAAAATCCTGAATTACTGGTTTATACGAAATATCACCAAGAGCCACTTCACCAGAGAATCACTGTACTACTTTTATCTTAAAAGTTGATTGACGTCTCTGTCGTGACAGAAAAGATAGAAATGCCGAAAAGGTCAAGATACTTTTTTATTTAATTTGGACAAACTGTGTCATTTTACAGAATATTCACATGAATTCTTTAAGTTTTCCATGTATGGCTTTATTCTATTGAACAATTTCTGTAATTCGTTTGCTCGATTTGCTCACTATTATCATTGATTGCGAGAGTAAAGCAAGAACTTTTATCGTTCAACATATCCACCCATTCACCCATTTTACCATAATTTGTTTTCTAGAAACTGACGCTTCAAGTCAAAGTAAGAGTAATGAAAGTGCAAAAACTTTGGAGAGAACAAAAGATGAACTTCTAAAACAACGAGAACTTTTGGAGCAGAAACTACAGGAAGGCTCCTTGTTAGATCCAAAGGAAGAAAGGAGGTAAAATTTACATATTTTAACACACACACACCCCCCCAACTCTCAGAACTGATCAACTTGTAAAACGTGCTCACGTTATCGATGCACCGTAAAGCTGACAGGTGACGAGAGTCAATAAATTTATCACCCTTGGGGAGTAATCCTAATAAAATCTTATGACTGACAGGAGGTTCACGTCATGAAGATCAATCGATCGTTTTAATAGCAACCGAAGCCATTTTTTATCATACCGAGGTTTCTCGGTTGAAGCAAAACCGAGCACTATTGAGATCGCTTCGACGCTGGTGGAACCCAAATCAGTCATCAACTTATGGAATGCAAAATATAGATAATCTTTGTGACAATCACATGTTGATATGCTTCTGTTCTGTCCAGGCTTATTGAACTGGACGAAGGTATCGACGCGCTAGAAGCTGCTATCGAGTTTAAAAACGATAGAATTGCCACCCAACAAAAAGAATTGGACAGTAGTAAACTTCTTACAGACAAAGACCGAGAAGGACTGATGAGCAAGCTGAGTAACCTCCCACAAAGGGAAGCCACCGCCCTGTTGTCCAAATACTTTGAGAAAGTTGTCGAGTTGCGGGGAAGTGAGAAGAAACTGGAGCTGCATTGTAGCGATTTGGAGGTAAGTATAAATGAATCAGCGATGGGGTAACGTATAAAAGGCAGTCTGATGATAATTCGTCTTCCTCTTCGGAGAAAAATGAATACATAATCAGCAAAAGGATAGAACAGCGAAAACTGGCTCTCCCTCCGTGAGAATGTTTTGCTTCCATCTGAGATTAAATTTTGTAAATTACTTTGCAACATGAGTATGTTACTTACCATTTTTTTACATTGAATTTCGCCAGGTTCGTATAACCGAGCAAGAACGGATCATTGGTGAACTGGGTCGTGGATTGCAGCAAGCTGGAATAAAAAGGGGACCGAAGGCTAGTGGAGCATCAAAAGAAATACGAACAGAGGATACAGTTCTTAATGAACAAACTTCGTGATGCTGAGTTAAATGAGACACCAGATGAGAGAATAAGGTACCTTATTAAAAAACGTAACAATAATCCGGGTCATATTTGATTTAGTTTGAAATGCAGAATTTAAGTCACCCTTTTTCGCTGGTATACCGTGTTGTTTTTTTTTGTTGTTGTCTAATATTTGTGTTTGGTTTTGTCGCATTTGTTTGAAAGAAATAATGTAAGCATAGCGTTGAAGTGTAATTCAGCTAAGAGTGATGTCTACCATAGCTCACGTAGAAAAATACTGTATGTAGATAAAAGGTTATGTCCTGTCACAAGGGTGAAATGAAGATCTGCAGTCGTACGGACACAAAGAAAATGATACAATTGTGATAGCATGTAAACTAAACCAAATATTTCTCTTTTATCGCAGTGAACTTGAAAATAGAGCCCAACAGTTGGAGAAAGATCTGTATTACTACAAGAAAACAAGCCGCGACCTGAAAAAGAAACTGCGAGAGAAGATGGTGTCTGGAATGGGTACCAGTGTTGAATCGGATGTTTTTATGGCCAGTAGTGAACTGGAAGCTCAGCATAAAAGTACAGATGTCTACACCAAGCATTTAGCGACAGACGTTTCCCGTATGAAGGTAAATATTCCTCTGGTGATTTTTTAAGAATGACTGTTGGCTTCCTTTTTGGCCTGCATTTTGGGTATCCTACGTTGGGTGTCTTGTTTTCCTCTTTGGCTTTGTAATTCCTTGGTTACACTCTAACATTTTTTAATTTTTTGCCGTTGGTTAGTTAGCTTATTGTCCACTGACTGACTGACTAATAAAATAACTGTTTTACTCACTGACTGACAGACTGACTTTGTGCCTGATTGACTGTTTGACTTACTGAGTAAATGACTGACTGATTGACTGACAGACTGGATTGTTGACTGATCGACTTGCTCACTGACCGTCTCAATAACTGAATAATAAGGGTAAGTCTTTAAATAAACTATGGTGCTGCGTTGGTGGGGCGTATTACAATATAATTTGGTTTCATCAATTGAGTTTATAATGTGAATTGTCCACCGTAAAGAGTTTCTAAAGCTGAGGTTCCAGCTTCAGCCTTTCGTCAGAGCAAATCCGCGCTCTAAAAGGGTCTAACATTCGAACATCGGCTTTAGGTTCTCTGAACGGTGGCCAATTCACATCATCAACTCATCTGATAAAACCAAATTATCTTGTCTCAATAAGTAACTGATTGACTGTTTGAATTAATGACTGACTTATTGAATGATTGGTTGACTAAATGACTGACTGACTCACGGACCAACGTACGGACAAACTGAACTTCAAATTCATTGATTGATTGATTGATATCTTCCATTTTGTTATCTATTACCTTAAAGCATTCTCTCGCCGAAAAGGGAATGGGAGTTCCTTCTCAAGCTTCTACTCCTGTTAGGGTTTCTCGTAAAGAGCTTCGACAGCTGAGGTACTTTTAACTAAAGTAACGAGCCAAGTTTGATGGCCTTGTGTCTTTGCTTAGTACTTTGGTTGTCACATAACGCTAAAGAACAATGATAATAATAATAATAATGATTTAAGAAAGACTCTCTACACGATGTGAAGGGGGCCAAGAAAGGACGATGAGGCGAACTGTTTTTTCGCTGTAAAATTAAACAATAGAGAACAACGTTTGTAATGAGTTTTTCATGTATTTACTTGTCGATAGAGAGGCTGATTTGTGTGCCTAGATTGGAATAGTCGTCCAAGTGATTCTCTGATTTTACTCTCACCTCAGTTCACAGGAAGTGTCAATGCGTAGATCTCAGTCTTCTGTGGCCAGCACGGTCCCTGAATTGCCAGGTCTCTTTGACAAACACAGCCTTGTGGAAGAATCTGCCGACGACTTAGTACAAGGTGTGTGAACGACAGTTCAATAACTCCTCCGTAGTTTTCATTTCTCGATACATATTATATTTTTAAAGGATATGATATGTGATGATAATTACTGAAAGACCAATTTAAATAATATGCCATTTTTTCCCTCAGATTCAATTGAACAAAACAAGAATCCCTGGGCTTAAATCTACATTTTTACCAACGTGAGAAAGGAAGATGTAAGGAATTGAGACCATGGATGAATTTGATGTGTTAATATAGATTAGTTTTCCATGGTCTATGTGACATTGCAACCCACTATTAATTTCCGCGTGATTCTATTGGCTACTTTACATCGCGTGGTGCAAAATCACTGGACCGGGAAGAAGCCAGCTCTAGTGTTTTACTTTTTAATCTTTATTACTTTACCCGGAAGAAAAACCAATTGGTTTAGTAGAGTAATCGTGGTAGTGATATGAAAAAGCAGATCTCAAATTCTGCTCCAGAAAGTACAAAATGTCAAGAAAATTTATTGTCATCGCGCGGTATGACACGTAATGGGAGGATTATAAATCAAATAAGCCACCTTCTGGCTTGCTGGTATGTCGGCTGTGATGTCCTTTGCTGAGAGACTGTCCTCAAAATTTCACATTTTCCCTCGAAGCTTCGCTTTCCCGCCAGAAAATTCGTTTTTCGGACGATTACCCAGTCGTGGAAGTTAGCCATCGACACACCAGCTACCGGAAGGAGTTTATTTACTTAATTTTTGTTTCAGTAAACTCTTGCCCCATGTATTTTATTGTTTTCAACAGTTGGTCGACTCTGTAAAGAATGTGTTGTGGAGCTAAAATGCAACTTTATTGTTACATACATTCGTCGTGAAAACAGACTAAGGGTGAAAACTTGAAGTGTGTCAGTATTTATTTATTTGTTTATTACTAATGCGTTCTTGTGGATAATTGGTTTTAGTAACAATCGTTCCTTCAGCTTTTGTGCGTTTGTTTATTTTTACAGCACAAGCTACTTTTTAGAAGCATGTTAAATAAAGAGCCTGACGGCCGTAACGGACAAACGGGACAGCATAGCTGTATTTTACTTCCTCTCCTTTTATTTCTTTGAACTGTAGAACAATTCTGTAAAAAAGACATGGGTATAATACAAAGTTGTATAAAATCATACGTTGTAATTATAAAGTTGAAAGTCTACTTTTCATCTTAATCATGTTTACTTCTGAACAGTTCATATAATGAAACAGTTTTCTACACTTGTTCAAAGCGAACATACTATGGTACGTATTTTTTAATGGAACCATTTTATTTATTGGTGTGGTAGGCGTCATGGTCTTGAAACTTGTGTTGACTGGGCCATAAATGTCAGTAAAAGTGATGTTCCACATGGCGGGGGGACGTTCTTACTGAGTGTGTTGCAAGTTTTATGACAGAGTTATGTACGGTTGTAGAATCACCTATACTCCAAATAGACCGAGAGAGTTCTCCTGGGAAAGATACAGAAAGATCTCTCATTTGCGACAATTTTATGTAATTTTGTTTTTGCTCCACAACTGAAAGTTCAATTCTTGCCGTTTATGTCAACGTAAACTTGTTTCTGATGATCATTTTCTTCTCTCTTTTCCCCTCGCATGTATTTGCTATGAGACCCGCACATAATTAGTTGAGGTACAAATATTGCACCCAATTGAAACGAAAGGTATTAGTGAAACGTATGTGCTACGTTTGGACAACATTTTACTCACTTATCCATTTGAACTCTTAACTTCACTGGGTTGGGCGTAGTCCTTATATTATCAGGATAAGAATAGCCTTAATGCTCTTTCTGCACGTCACTCATTTCTCAGGCTATATTTTGACTTCTCAGAAGACTTAAATTAAAATTTTGTTTTAGTATAATCTATCAATACAGCCATAGCAGATATTGAAGTTTCAATTTTTTTTCGCCTTCGTTGGTGTGCTACTAACTTCGGTACCCCTACGAGTGCTGAGTGACAAGGGATGCCTATTTGCCCAATGATTTCGCCAGTTTTGTGTTGGTATAATCTAAAGCCACATCATCTATTGATACTCAAAGCGTCGAATTCTCTGTTCTATCAGAGGTATTGTTATTTGATTCGGAATTCCCACCAGCCGAAAGGGATAGATCTTCCACTGCCAATAGCTGACTTCTACGAAGATACACCGACTGTTCATCAAAGGGTAACATCTCATTTGCATACTCAAAGCTCAGGTTACAAAAGCTCGCTCTTCGAATCGAAACATCGTGATGAGGTTCAGTGAATTGTACCTCGTTTGGGCGCATGCTCTTATGTCTCCTGTACAACTGCAACCACTTTATATGAATGTCGTTTTCTTCTCCCTTGCGCACACTAAAGATCATGCGCGTCAAAGACTTTCCCATGGGACCCAGGTGACGTCCGAATTTAACCAACACAAATATGATGAGCATCTCGGATATCAAAGAAATTATACTGAACCCAATTACACCGAGAAGAAGCAGAAATAACCCAATAAATTTCTCAGGACCAAGTTCTTTCACTGGTTTCGTGGTACATTCCTTCTTGTTGAACCAGTAATCTAAAATAGCTTGAATACTGCCATTCTCTTGGTTCTTTAACACTGACAAAGTTGCTTCCTCTATCCATGGTGAACCTTTTGGGAAAACAAAACCATAGCCAAAGTTGTAGAAGTTTTCCCCAGCGAGGCTGTATCTGCAGTTCGCATCATTGTTTCCAGCTTGCTTCAAAGACAAGTAGTCACCCACAAGTCCATCCAGCTCGCTGAGATAGAAAATATTGCGGACAGCAATTAGTAGAACTAAGTAAATTCTTTACTGACGAGCAGCTTATTTCAAATCATAATTAGTGATGAACTGCCTGCTTCTCTGCCTGTCAAACTGTCTTACTGGCTTACTGTCTGACAGACCAATCAACTGATTGGCTGACCCCTGACTGACTTACTGACTGATTGCAGAAATAATTGAATGAATTAATGATCAAGTTCTAACTGATTAGCAAACAAACTCATGGACCGCACGACAAGCTGCATTACTGATTGACTAAATGGCTGCGGATCAATTTACGGACTGACTCACTGTCTTGTTTAATTGAGTAACAACTCATTGGCTGTGTGGCGGACTCATTGATTGTGCGTGTGTTATTTGTCAAACTACCACGATGAGAAGTTGTCTGGTTTTGAATATCCAGCCCTCGGATCTAAAAGTTCAAGAAACATGACTGCATACGAAGATGATAATTTACTTAAAACATACTCGTTTGTAAGCTGCTGTATCCCTGCCTGAAAACCATCCACCAGATGTATTTTTAAGTTAACGTGGTAAATCTTCCTGAAAAAGTATTTGACGTGATTTTTGAAGTATGCTTCCTCGTTACTCCCGCGTGTGACTCCGAGTTTAAAACCATCCGGTGGGTAAAGAGACTTCTCGGTGAGCTATTGAAATGAGACGAGAATAACATTAGACGACAGAGGTGGACTGAAACGTCTTTGGAACTAGTGCTTTGGATTGCAATCCTTCCTTAGCCTTTTTTTGTAGAAAATAAAAACGATGTAGAAAAAATTACGTCCGTAGCTCTTTTTTCAGAGCATCTGTAGCTCTACTGATTGGGACTCGAATTTTACATATGTCATCAAATTCCTTTTTTTCGGTTCTTTTTGGTGACAAATGCTTCGCGTCTTTCTTAAGGCTAAGATTAGTTTTTGCAATAACTCAGTCGATGTTAACTGAAGGCAAATTCCATAGGATGTTTACAGACCTAAATCCCTCGCGCCCTCTCACAGCAAGATCGTGGTTTAAACTCGCTCGCTTTTGGGAAAACTAATTCATCATTTCAGTCTGTCATAAACTTGGGTAATAGTGATGGTTATTTTTAACGCAAGCTGAAATTACAGTATTTGTAATGTCAGAGTAGCTGCATTTTGCTGCACATAAAAATTGAAAAGTAGTCGAATGCTTTTCGATAGAGCGTTAGTTAGCAGAACCAATTTGATCAGGACAGTCAAGGAGCCAACAAAAGTACAATTGGAATAACGGCAACCGGCATAAACGGGAATCATGTCGTTTGGTGTCTAACGTCGGGAATGAATAGTAACTAAAATGCAATCTGAGTTTGATTAAGTTTGAAATACATTTTTCTTCTGATCGGTGGAGATAATGAGGCAAGCTCCCTGAACCAATTAGAGGTCGTGTTCTAGCAAACACTTTACAATTCTTGATGCTTTTCATACTCAATTGAACAAGGTTCGATAAACGGCACTTACCTTGGCATCTTCTACACCACTGATGGGCAGTTTGTATGGATCATCAAGTAAGAAGGCCATGAGGTTTGCACAGTAGGTATTCACCATGATCAAGGCCAGTAACGCATAAACCGCGGAAACGGTACGAGCGCTGTTGCTGCGTGGAGTCTTTTCCGCACCAATGTCCTTACTAAATGCCACGCCCCAAACATAACTCATGGCGTCTGGAAAGAAAGTCTTAGCACAGTTAATGATATCAACCCGATAGCGTTAGCATGATCGTCCGGGTAAAGGCTCATCTAAAAGAATTCGTTTACGGTGACGGTGACGGTGACGGTGACTTGGGTTTCGAAAAACCAATCTAAGTGGAAGTCATCATTAGGGTAAAGGTACTTTATTCTGACTTAGACACCTGACCTTAAGATGACTCCTGCTTCGGTTGTCTGAAAGTCGGTCATCACTAACAAAAACCGTCCTTTTCAGGAGTGCACTGTGTATAAAGCTTCTAGGACCTGAGTCATCATAAGTCGGGTTGGACCCGAGTCATCATTCTTTTAAGTTGAAAAATCATTTTAGAGTGTACGAATCGTCAACAAAGATGTCCCAGGCTAGTGTTACCGGGCGATAAATGCCTTATCTTTTTCTTCCCATTCCCATCCCTTGCTAAAAACCATATGGATTTGCTTTGCTTCTTACCTAGAAGTGTAAAAGCATCTTCGTCACTGTCCTTGAGGAGGACATAATATCCTTTTGGACTCTTCCTGTCAAGCCACCAAACTACAAACAGGATCACGTTACATGTTACCAGGATAGCGATCCAAAGCTCATATCGGAACGGTTCCAGCCAAGAGTACCAGATGCTTACTGATAGAGAAAAGAGTAGAAGTATTTAAATTACATTTTTTAAAGATTTCCACGATTGAGTTTCTTTGCAAAAAAAAAAAAAAAAAAAAAAAAAAAAGATGACAAAAAATAAAAAATAAAAAAGTACACTATCTGAAAGTATTCTCACTTACTCCTAACAATGTCATACTGGATACTGTGTTACATCAGGACCAATTGAGTCCCGACTTATATCGGCACTGATCTGATTTTAAATCGAGCCTGGACACTTTCTTGCAAGTAAGCAAACCCGGTTACATTGCAAAATAACCTTATACCTTGTTCCTTGTAGGAGCGATCTTTCCTGACCAAAATGTTCATTGCTGATGCAATGCTAGGGTATGCAAATTCCACTACCCTTGATCTTTCAAAGTTTCCGGCCACATCGAGAGCTAGATCCGCTTTGCCAGAGATAATTTCATTTATAATTCCATTCCAGGTGCTGTTCACGGGTTCGAACTTCCCGTATCGCCCATCTGGATTGAAATAAATTTCCGTATCAAACCCGAGGTCTCTTCTTAGAAACTTCAAAAAGTCTATAGACGCTCCATAGCAGCAAAGAAGTTGCTTAGTCGTCTGCGTAGAATTTTGGACACTTAAGTACTTATAGCAAGGTAAAGTTCTTCCAACGCATGATTTGCGGCTCATCGTCAACGCTGGATCTTTTGAGACCACGAGAGGGGGCCACTCGACGACAGGCACCCGCAGGATGGGGTGCTTAGGATGTAGTAGTGGAAGGAGGGTGTTACCATTGTGGTTTGCAATGGGCTCTAATGCGAGTCCAGTTGTTGTACCAAGTCCAACATGTTGCCAATGTTTCCTGCTATCGAGATCCTCCCTTAAATTCCAGATGTCAAAGGCTGAATGTTGTTGTTCTGATAAATCGTGAGCTCTGAAAAGCTTGCTGCTACCTCTTATGTAAGTATCCTTTAAACGGCTAAAGAAGGAACATAAAGGACAGGATAAAAGAGGGCCAATTAAAGAGAAGAACGACCGATCTCTCCCCCTGACGAATGATTAACCAGGATAGATGAATAAATAAACTTTCGAACAAAAGATCAAATCAACGACTGGTTACGTAAACTTCTGATACACTAGAGTTTGGGTTATCGTTGTACATTGTCGAGGTAAAGTGTTCAGTTTAAGATGGAAAAAAATTGAACTGCCTGGCATTGAAGTGATTCATCTAGCTTTCTGTTCGTACCATACATAAATCTTTCAAACGAAAGTGACCTCTGGTAATTTGACAAGACGAGTACTGCCACATCTCTGTGAGAACCGCTCACAGAGACGTGGTCCTACTCAGCTGCACTTTGGAGACAGTATTCTTTTGCAAACTCATCAATGGAGCTATCCGTCCCTTATCCCACTCATCTACTTCCCTTAGTTCAGTGCTTCCTTCCTGAGAAGCGACCCTATCTCTCTCTCAGCGCTAAACTGTATCTGCACAATGAATGAGTGAAATGAAACAACCAGAAAAAGAGAAACTTTACAAGTTCTAAGATGGATCATTGACTTACATCATAGCCGTTCTCCGCAGAAATTTGTATTTCTCTGAAGTGTTCAGGACCTGTTTTCGCTCATTGTTTATTGTCCTCACTGAAATTTTAAAAGCACTTTCGAACATGACAAAAGAATCGTACAATGCTTTTACGTAAAACTCATAGTCATGTCCAACCTCAGGTAATTTGCAGCTGATCTGAGTCAGTCCAGTTGGAATCGAACTTATGTTCTGTACACCGTACGTGGTAGGCCTAGTAACGAGCCATACGCTACTATTCTCAATGGCTTGCAACTTTTGAATCGTCCAAAATATATTGTCGTTGCTCTTTTCACGAACGTGCCCGATAATTACATCCGATTTGGCTGACATAACGCGCAGAAGTCCCGTTCTTATTTCTTGAAGACTTTCGTCTCCTTGAATCCATAATGAGGTTAATACACGCCATTTCTTTTCCTGAGCTAAGCGCTTGAGAGCGTCAGCAAATACATGCCCCTCATACGTGGCTGATGTCACCAAACTGAGGGTCCTCCAGCCCATTTTCTCCGTAATTTTCACCATTACTTGTGCATATTCCATTATTGATGGCGCTGCAACTCTTGTGAATCCGCCAGAACTTTCCTTTTGAAAATAACAGACCAACAATCAAAGCAAAGAAACAAACGAACAAACAAACGAAAAACGATTTCCATAGATGCACTTCACGATTTGTCAGCGCACCTGAAGTGATAAATTCAGCCTACATTTTTTCAAGTTTCAATCCTTGTAAACCTTTTACATCCCCAGCCATTCTAATTCGCGTTGATTTTCTTTCCCTAAATTTGGTGATTTTCTTTCTTACCATACCTATATTTTCGGTGTTGTTCTCGTTTAAGATGATTTTTACGTGGAAGACAGAGATTCAATACGTGAAAAAGCAGCTGCTAACATACACCGTGTTTTCAATTACTGAATACCTTTTGGATCATTTACTTTTATTTCTTAGCGTAATATTATTATTTCAGAGTCATGTTCAAAGAAAGTTTACGAAAGCCGTTGCTCTTCAGCAGCTCTCTAAATGTAGGAATAGGATAGCATAAAGGGGGTACCTCGGGATAACACAGAACGTTTCCTCCATATTGTACAAAGGGGGAAGCGATTCCATTCTAGAGTGGAAAACGCTTTTGGTCATGTCACAGTGATGGGGTTTAGTTTTGCTTCTGATGCGTTGAAAGTGTTGCCTTTAAATTATTACCGCAAAGGGGGACCGGAAACATTTCTGAGGCTTGTTCGCAGTGAAATCGAGGCAAACTATTTCGAACATCAAAGTTTTCTTCAAGCTTAACAGCCACAGTCGGATAACTATTTGCTCTAAAGAACAGATATACATATAAGCATATCAGCCGGAGTGATTTACAATTAAATTGCTCTAGTGCCACAAATAAAATCTATGAAAATTGTTAATAAAATGTCTTGATTACCGAAATGAATCAGTAAAATAAAGGGGTATGTTTTCTGGAGAACCACAATGGAACACATTACTGTCTCTACATGAATATGGCCGTTCATTAAATAACTACAAGGGAGCTACTTAGATAGCACACAACCATTTGAAACAAGCGTCTATATATGAGGAAAGTCAACGATGAGCTTCCAATATAGAAAAAAACAACAATTATTGTTGAATAACTGTAAATTCTAAACTGCTCGTCACCAGACAGGAATGGAATGGTTCATTCATATTTTATCATTTTTGTAAAGGATTTCCTTAACTTATGCTAACCGCCTGTCGTTCGTTTACTAGCTTAATATGTCTGATCTCTGTTTGAATTGTGCTTATCTTTTATCGCCAGCTATTTCTTCATGAGAGCTTTCATTCGTGATACAATAATGACAGCTTTGTTACCTTTATGGTGCAAAACTGACTTTAGAATAGATGAATTTTTCCCAAAATTCATAATCTTAAAAAATGTTAATGAAAAGCCAAGCAATATTTTGAAACATGTAATATCTAAATTTTAGATTACTTTCCCACTGAATTATTAGGTTTCAAAGGTTTAGATATATGAAAGAATATTTTCTTTAGCCTTTTGAAAATGAATATGAAAATTTAATTCAACCTATTTTTAGTCTAATTAACCCTAGATAGATGGCGAAATTACTTCGAGCCGCAGATGTTTTTTGTCGGAAATTTCCTCTTTTTTTTTTTGCCATTCAAAAGTGACTATCCTTCGGATTTTCGCATTGAATGGTAGATTAACTAAGTTATATAACTGATCGTTTCCGTAAAACGAAAAAATGAAAGGAAAAGGAGACTTCTTTTTAGGCCTTTTCTCGAGATTTTATGAGGTAGCTTTTCAAGGCGATTGCAGGGGGCACTAAGATCTTGTCGGCTTTAAAATGGGCAGGCGCTAACACACGTTGACGATATCACATTAGACATAAACATTAGTATAAATATTCATTTCTTGCCAGTATTCCTAGTGGTTCAATTTATTTATTAAGCCAAGTTGATATCTGATAACACAATATTTTTGAATTTTTTTCAATCGCATCTACCCGAACAATTTTTTTCAAGCATGTTTATTTTTTTTATTAACGATGAAATTTAAATAAAACGATTGTATTTATTTTGTAAATATCATCCAAAAGTGTGAAAGCAGCAGTATCCAAATATTGATTAAGTTCCTAGCGTTCGTTACGCGCTCTTTTGCTGATGAGCGAAAAAGAGCTTCCGCGAGGGACGAGATTCTGAGATGAATTTCTAAATTCCTTTTGACCCAAATGTGATGTTAACTTGGCTGGTTATATGGATGAAAGGTAGATAAATTAAAAAAAGAAACAAACTGCTGAACGATTTTTTCCAAATTATAAAGCTTTTATATCCTATGTAATGAAAAAAATTCCAAAAATTGAAATTCGCTGACATCAGTGGAGAGATTGAAAAATCGCTTGAGATTACCACTTAACGGGCGTCAAAGGTGAGTTTAGTTGAAACAAAGAAGCTAGACAGATGAATTTTTAATTTACCTGTGTTATGGGAAATGCCCTTCTGCTCTGTAGTAGCCCAATTGATGGAAACACGGAACTCTCCAAAAGCGAGGAATAAAGTAGTCCATCTTTTGTTACATTGACGAAGATTACGCCTTGGGAGTCAGAAGTGATGTTTGAAATCTTGGGAAACAAACCACTCAAACCATATTCGAGGGGAAAGACATCGGTTAAATTAGGCCTTGAAAAATGCATCTCCAACAAGAACTCATTAGGAGTCACATTACCAGTTACAACTTTTCTTGATCGGAACATTTGTTCGGCCGACTTGAAGACATATTCCTGGAAGATGTCATCCATGTCAAAGAACACCGCAATGTTGACATCCAGCTTTTCTACAGCAGTACCGAAACGAGTGAGAAAATTCAGGGTGTTAAATAACATTAGTTGCCTCAGAAAAATCCTTCCAGCCATATTCTTGATTGAAAGGAAGACCGGTGTTATTTGGTACTAACTACGACAAACATTCGAGTCCATATTGTGCCATTGGCTTAAGCCAATTTTCAGCGGATGATGCCTATTTCCAATGCATATGTTATTTTCGTTCTTTTCACGTGTGTCGTCTTACCCCAGGTGTTTAGCAAGATCCGGCAACTCACATGCGGCCTGCGAAGCATAACAAAAAATATCACAAGAAACTTTTCCAGCATCTAATAACATCAGCATTAGGATAGTGTGTGATTGGATGACATCACACATTATTTTACATTACTAAACACACATTCGGAAAGTCAAATGACAGGTTGTAATTATGTAAAAAACAGAGGACCTGTTATAGCCACAACACCTCATCTTTATTTTCCTAAACTGCTTAGTCGAGAGACGAAATCCCTGGTTTGGCAGAACTGCAGCGGATTTTAGACAATTAAGCTTTCAGGAAAGTTTTGCCTTCTGTCATCAAACCGCATAAGTAAATCGCTGTCATTTCCGCTGAAGTGCGATATAATGTCAGCAAAATTTATTAATGTGCTGATTTGATTGGTTGATATACATGAAAAGCAATAATGCACGGAATTAACGCAAGAACAACAGCTGTACCTGTTTGAAGCGGAGTAAAACCAAATTTCAAATTTTAACGACTAGGATACAAAATCAACTTACGCCTGTGAATCTGTGATTAAACAAAAATTTCTACGAATTGCGAGAGCTTAAATCTACATTATTAATCTCCATGCTGTTCTGTAAGCAATAAAAATTCAAGATCTCCAATGAAGACAATTTTCAATATAGCCAAGTTTTTTCCGGTTGCTTTTAAAAATTCATGACATTTTAAATTTCTCATTTGTCAGACATGCGTTCTTGGCAGGTGACCATTCAAAGACAGATTTCTTTGCAAACTCAGAAATAGCTGCCTTTCAAACAACTTTTTTTAGCATATTCGATCAGCGCTTAAACCTGATATCCTGTCTCTTTTCGACTCAGCAATTGAAGTTTTTTCAGCAGCATGTCATTAACACCTCTGTTTGCAATAAACTAACTTTAAATTCATTTCTTCCTTCGGAATCATACTGCGATCGATAACTTTGTCATTTACGGCCGAAAAAAAAGGAAACTGTGAAAAAAAAATGATGAACATCCGCTGGGTTTCACCTCAAAACTGCTCGGTAGCCGCTGCGTTTTAAACTTTAATTAGGTCATACAGGTTAGTCTTTCAAAGGATTTTTAACTGCAAATTTTCCAATTGCGCATGGGCCTTTTCGAGTGAGGCAACTTATTTTGTTGTGCGAGTCTTAAAATAGGATCAGTTGGGATTGCGCTGAATCAAACTGTGATTCAGTATTTTAGGTACATCTGAACCATGACTGGTTCAAATTTTCACTTGCGAACTAAGATTATTCCAGACTCATTCCTTGGAAAATGACATGCAGCTTTAGTTCATGGTTATATTTTAAGAGGGCTTCTTTCGCTTTCTTTGACAAACATCTTGACCAGACTTACAATGTCAGGAATTGAGAAATTAAGGAAACTGAGATAGATGACTTTTAAGTAAAAGGGAGTGAGACAGTATACAGACGTTCCGTGAATATATGGTCTTGTCTGGCAGACTTTTCACCTTTTTCAAGGAAGATCGCCAAACTACGGCTGATCTTTACGGCCAAACGTGTTTAGCCTTCTGAAGAGTTCTGACCGAATTGTAACGCAAATTAACGGCTGAATTGTATCCAATTCCTTTGACACGGGAACTGAAATCCGGTAGAGGGCTCCATTGCCTCTAAATTGTATGCAAGAAGCATACATTTATATCACCCACTCTCGCTGATCATCGCAGTTATGATTGTGTGCATTTTATCTCCAATTTCATTAGCCAGAAGCCCACCGCCTGCAAATAAAAACGCAGCAGTCTAGCGTCGGGCACGCGCAAGGGGAACAGTTTTGGCCGGCCGCACGCCATTTTCCCGCCCAAGAGAAAACTTAAGAAAATAAAGAGGCTAATAGAAATCAGCAACTGAAGAGGAAATTAAAATTGGGAAAATGTAAGCGCGAGACTTCTCGAAAACGATGCTTTTTCAATTACTGGTACCCTGCTGATTTACCAATCTGTTTTGATCTTTATAATAGCGGAAGACGGTTTTAAATCAACGTGATTTACTGGTTTATGTGGTTGTTTATATCTCCCGTAGGACACCGATCTTTGTTTTGACAACATTCACAACGCTTTGACCTGCGCAGACCTTCGACCCAGCGCTGTATTGCAGATATACCTTTGCTCATGCGTAGTCCCGATGTTTTTCTTTACCTCGGCCGTTTTGGTGATATTGCTATTGCAAAATTGAATTGTGAACCGTAAACGCGCTAAAAGAAGCAACCTCCAGTACGTGGGATTCTTCAAAACGTTAATTTCATTCTAACGAGTGATATTTATGGTAACTTCTCCTTGAAATTTCAGTTCAATATCGAGCACGTAGCTTTTGAGAAGACAATGGAAGCATCATCGTCAGTTCATTGAAGTAGGTCAGAATCTTTGGAAAAAGGGTTAACCGTACGCCAAAGGCAGTTGCCATCCTTTAGCTCACTGTAATTCAGTTTGGTTATTTTTACCATAAGCCAACCAACCCCTTCTTTCACTGATAAAAAAGCTTCCCGGTGTCAAACCAAGGTGAGTGGCAGTAACTCTGCAGCAATTTACAAAATCATTTTTAAAAGATGAAATTAAAATTTCATGGCGCAAGCTGAACTGGATTGACAATTGGACATTAAATGGAGCTGTTTGTATTTGATTTCATTGTTTTAACAGCTTTGTATGTATCAATTGCTGTTCAATAGTTTCTGTTTCTTATGATTACTATAGAGTTGTCTGCTAGTCCCTGTCAGTTTTTCACCTTTTCAAAGCAATCCACCGATAGGTCTATTGCAGAGAGCAACTAAAAGGAACGAAAAAAACCCTGGTGGTGAGCAACCTGGGTACGATACATCCAAGAATCAGTTAAAGCAAGACGCTTATTTTCTGTTCAGCGAGGTGTCTCTAAGCAACTGTTACCACTGGATAGATAGAAGGCCCACTCACCCACTACTCAGAGCCATCTATCTTCATGTTTAAGCACAGAACATTTTCCTTTGGTAAGCAGCCAGTACGGACTGAGAGGCACTAAGGCAATGGATATTATTCCGTCACACTAAAGTAAGAGCAATTTATGCCATGCCATATTAATACACGGTTTGCGTTTTTTTTTATTGAGCTTAAAATTTTGGATACCTTTTAAGTACAATGAAGCCTCAAATCCCAAACATCCATTCATGGCACACGTGCGTTCAGAGAAACGGAACAGCTAAAAGGAAATATAGCCTGTTTTAACGATTTACAAATACCTGGATACACTTGGACTAATATAAACTCTTTTCGGTCTTTGTTTGTTCTTCAGACGCAAAGTTTATGTTACAATTCCTAAGATGCTTATTGTCACAGGAAAAATTACATCATGCCAATTAACTGTCGGATACTTCCGAAAAAAACCGTTTACTGACAAACTCTCTACTATTCTTCGGGACGGTGGCCGAGTGGTATGAGCGTTGAATTTGCTACCTGATGGTCTTGGGATCAAGTCATCCATCCCGCTACGGACTGGATTCGTTCCCGGATGTGCCATCTTCAACTGTTTGTGCTCCTCATGTTAAACTCCTTGTACCCTTTAGAACGCAAGCGACTGAGCAGCTCTCAGTAAGTGGAGATCTTTGACAACTTTTTGTCCACTTAGAATGTTCGTTTGATTCCCTTTTTTCATTCATTGGCTCTGAATAAAGAAGCCCCTGAAGGTCAGGCCTCTATATAGACAAGTCTCTGTATAATCCTGGAACGAACGGTCCCATTTGCTCTTCTGCGTCCTGCGTGCCGTCTTCTTCTGCTTTTGCAGGTCTTCCAAGTCTGATCAATTTTCCAAATGTTCCTTGGCCCCCTGGTGTTGTTCCATCGCAACCAAGTACCCGCTTTCGTGCACTTGTCCTTAGATTGTATGGAGACAAATGCCCCGATTGCGAGGCGTCTTCAACGGGCGACTGTGGATCAGAACTTTGCTGATTCAACGCTACGAAGTCAGTCCCCTCTGGCAATTGATCAGCGTCTTCGTGGGCTGGGTTGAGATACTGCAAAATAAGGAAAAACATTAATGAGATTTTAAATAAAGTACCTCCAAAGCAGTTTTCCATCCGAAAAATCAGCCAACGAGTTTCAAATTTACCCTATTTTAGTAACTAGTTTTCGTCTCGTCCATCCTAAACAATATTCGTTCTTTTATGGTTCAATCTTCCCATTTTCGTTTTTTTAGTATCTTCCTAAGCTAAAATTTTTAGTGTTTGTGATTTTTCCTCACGTTGAAGGCAAGTTTACATGTCACCAAGCAACCAATCACAATTTCTTTAGGTTGCGCCTTTAGGTTCACCTCTGTGAGGTGACGAGCTCATCGCGAGTGTCTCTTGTTTTACAAATTGTCACCCTCGTACAACTGAGGTGAAACTAATCAACGCCTAACTCAGAACATAGGACGGCTTCTCTTATTAATCGTGCTGCTAGTGATTGTCAAACCTTCCGCTTGCCGTAAAAAGAAGAAAAAAAATATATATATATATACAAATCGTGTTAGGGATGGTCCAGCAGCGGTAGTTTATAAGAAGAGAGATAACAATTCACTGATTAAAAGTACTCGTCATTAATTTACATACGAAAAAATTGCGGGATAAGAAATTTGGACTTCTTAAATATGTCAACGAGACACCACTCACCCACCCCTCTTGTTGCAACATTCGCTACATTCAAAGCACCGCAAGCTTACTTTTTTAGTAGCACTTCTGAAGCTGACCGAAAAGGATTACTATGGAAGGGAAGGAACATGGCTGGCAAATGACCGCTTACCTCTTGAAGTATCCTGCTTGTTTCTTCTGTTAGAGCATCATGGGAAAATCTGCAGCGGCTGCCTTCCCGGCAGGATTTTATTGTGTGAAAAAATTTACATGGAAATGAACGTAAGGTAGGTTAAGGAATCCACACGAAGAAAAAAAAAAAACACAAACGGCTAAAACGATATAAAACAACATCAACAAGTTTGACGAAACTGCTACTCCTCGGCATAAATTTTAAGTTTTCTCACTTTTCCTACGTGTAAAGAGTACAAAATGAAGCACTGTTTTTTACAACTTTAACCTTTTAACACCAGAAAATTGAGAAAATTTCAATGCTCTATTGCCAGAACTGAACGCAGTCACCTTTCGTTTCTTAAATTCGCGTTCGTCTTTTTCTTCCTTCCTTTCTTCAGTACCCGTTTCGCGTTAGATATAAATTCTAATTATAACATTCTCTTGAATTTCAAAGTAAGGAGGTAGTAACTTTTGAAAAGGATATTGTGCATAAAAGCACAGTCATCTCCCAACTGGCAATTGTCAGCGGAAAGCACGTAGAACCTACAGATCGCCTTCTTCTTCACTAGAGCTGATCTGTCATGACGGAAAGAGCACTCACTGCCCTTTAGGGTAAAAAAAACAAAACAAAACAAAACGGAACATGATACTGTCTTATTGTTCAACACCTATGCATTATGCGAATCGCATTGTACAAAAATGCGCTTTGTGGGTATCAGACTGCTCAGCCTCCTGCTAATTGGGATTTTTAAACACTTTTTTCATTCGCTTTGGCCCTGAAAAGCCCCATTGGGGAAATAGTCTATTAAGTATGCATAAATAGACACACAGTATATATAAAGTATCGTCATTCTTTCGAATTCTTGTTCTCAAACGAGGACAGTGTTCACGCTCTTTCGAAGTCAGAAAATTCTACGACTGTTCAGTTTTCACGGGGCTGTAATAGCCCTGGATCAACACCAACCTGACTAAACAATTTTTTCGCAACGCAAGGCAGAAAAAACGCTCAACCCATTTGGTCAATGCAACCTCTTAAGATAGGAATGTATCGTAACAATTTTAATCCGTTATGATTTGAGCGTTTTTCCCCCCCAAAATTTGTTTTGTGGACAAAGTAATCAGTATTTCATCGAATTTCTCAAAAGCGGGGCCATGAACGTTTACAATCTTAATAAGATACATGAAAAAATTACTCAGTTCTGATTGGTTAAGATAAATGCAGTTTTCAGGTAATTCAATGCAGAAGAGAGTTAATTCAGTGCAAAGAATTAACAAACCAGACTGAACAATTCCTTAAACTGTTTAGCCGGACTTTGAACTTTTTTGCGCCCTAAAGATGTGAAAATACCATTGTATTACCGCGGTTGTTTTGACCGAACACACAATGTCACTTGCAGGGTTTGAATAAATTATTTTTGCACTTAATGCGTGCGCTTTGCTACTGCATAATTATGATAAGCTATCTCGTATTTTTTCACGTAGATTATTAATAAATTATTATTAGTCTAAAATCTTATTTAACGGTCAATTCCTTAATTCTCATTCAGAGGTTAACCCTGTGACCGCTAATAGTGACTAGCATATAATTTCTCATCAAAATATCACTCCTGAATCAAACATCAAGGTTAGGAGAATAAAGGAAATGATCAGCAACTAAAGAACCTATTGCTTGTTAAAAACATTCTCCTTGTCAGCACCTTGGGACATGTATACGGAACAGTATGGAGAATTTGCATACTGATATTAGGATTTAAAGGGTTAAGTATGAGAATTACTAACACCAGCTATTGTTGTGCACCTCTCACTGTACCTTCCTGCATTTTCCTTGAATGTAAAATGAGCAGATTGGTCTGAGGAGCTCTTTATAAACTGGTTTTGTTCGAGGTGGCGGTTCTCCACTCCGTTTTCTCTCCAAAGCTTCCGCTGTTCTTTTTGCTTTCTTCAACTTCTTTGCGTGTTGTCCACCTCGAGTCTTACGTTTCAACAGCTGTCAAATCGTTGGATCGATATATCCATTAGCAATCGGTACAGTCAATAAATAGCTTAATCACTGTGTAGATGAATAGGTAAATTTATAAGTGAAAGAGTAAATCAATTATAAACAACCACAAAAGCCAGTAAGTCACGTTGTTTCAAAAGCGTATATTTTTACATAAAACCTACTGCAAATTGGAAAATTAACAGTATACCATGATAAAATAAACTTTGCATTCGACAAGTCTCAAGTTTTCTCTTTTTGGTACGTTACCTTATTTTACAAAACTCTATGAACGTTTCGGTTTTTTTAATTTTATTTTCATATTTCTTAAGTTTTCTTTGGGCGAGAAATTGGCGCGCGGCCAGCCGAGATTCATCTCCCCGCGCATACTCGATGTTTGACTACCGTGTTGTGCTGACCAGCCTTAAGGGATAAGGATACAAACCTTTTCACTGGCTGCCACTGTAAGATCCACAGAATAAGAAGACACCATCGATAACAGTGATCCAGGTTCCGCTGATTTTTCCCGGGGTGGATTGTTCACTGGTAATGTCTTGATCTCAGAATGTTTCTCGGGAGCATCCGTCGATTTATGTCCTGAGACTGGCCCACATTTCTTTTTCTCTAAAAGTCTCTATAAAAGTAAACACATTCAACAAAATTCACGCAGAGACTTGACCAGGGAAAATAAGAGGGGATCCTGGGAACAAGCTTGGAGACAAAAGATTTATGTGCTTCAAGGTTTCTTTGCTATTGGTAAGTAATAAGAGACATTTCATCTTTTCTGCCACAGTGGTTGCTTTTTCTGACCGCTACTGAATAATTCTAACAGTACTCTATTCCAAACAAAAAGAGTGTTTTCTTTTGATACAAACCTGGTTTTGTCCCTTAGCCCTCTTCTTTTTGCGAAACTTCTTTTTTCGATTCCTCGCTGTTCGTTTATTATCCTTCTGCCTGCCCCTTGAGTATTTCACCCTTTGTCCAATCGTAGTATCTTGATGAAATGATATTCCGCCAGTATCTCCTTCATTGTCAGAATCAAGATCCATATCCTCAGCTTCATAATCACTTTTCACCTTACTCTCTTCTCCATCGGAATCATTCTCATCAATAAGAAAGTTATCATATTCTTCTTCATCCCCATCTGATGTTGACTCCACCATCACAAGCTCAGCGTACTCGTCCCCGCCGTCATCTGTTACACTGTCTCCTTTATCAACAGACTTAGTATTATCATTGCCGTCGTCATCATCATCTTTATCGTAGTCGTCATCGCCGTTTTCTTGGTCGTCGTTATCATTAGCATTATGATCACTATTGATACTGTCAATAGAGCCAGTGCAATCTTTCTTAACATCAGCACTCTCGTTGAAAACACCAGTGTCATGGTTACCTGCATCAGAATTCTCTATACAACACTCCTCAGCGTTTTTATCTATACCCTTAGCACAGCTCTCCCTGGTTCTTCCCGTAACCTCCTTGTCCCCATGAATGATTTCTGTAAGTTGGCTTTTCTCGTCACTGGAAATTTGATTTTGATGGGAATTTTCATTCTGTTTGATCTTCTCACTGTGCTCTTCATTTGACATATGAAGCTTTTCAGAGCTTTGCTTTGCCATGGAACTTCCTGTTGCTTTTGGCAGATCACTTGACAGCTCCTCTTGTTTTTTAGTGCTAGAGCTTTGAGGACTTTTAAGCTGAGCTAGAATAGAACCAGGCCTTAACGGCTCAAGAACTCTCGCTGTACTCCCATCAGTGTTTTCGCTGATGTGCTTCTCTTTCAGGTCTCTAACTAAGTCTATGGTCAATGTCTGATAATCACTGAAATACTCACCCTGATTTTCACTCAAATTGGTGTCTTCAGAGCTGAGTGCTTCGGATTCCTCTACTGGAATATTCCCTTTAAATTCATCGTTTGACTTTGCCTTGATCGACTCCTGCAGGGGTCCAGTGGGTGTTTCCTCAGACCTCTTATCCACAATCTCCTTAGGATTTGTGCTGTCTTTTTCCAGTAAGGCCATAGTGTTAAAGGATCTATTTTCACCAAAATCAGAGTTTTCATCCGTGTTATTCTTATCGTCTCGCGGTATATTATTGTCAATGAAACTTACAAGAACCTGTGTTTCTTGACATTTTTTTGGTACAATTTCAGAGCCTGAAACTTCTCTTCGATGAGAGGAAACTTCCCCAGGTATGTCCTTCGATCCATGTGTAGGTGTCACCAAGTCATGCCTGCCTGTGGCCAGCTGATTGTTACTTGGATCATCTTTACAGGACTGATCAATCTTATTCTGGGTTCTCTCTAGCAGACACGCTTCAACGACAGATTTTCCACCCTCGCTCTGTTCTGAAAGTACTCCCAATTCAAAGTTGTTTTCATCATTCGCAGTAAACCCTTGGGGAGGTCTCTTTCTGATCTGAGGGGCTGGTATTGTAACTAGAGTTCCTCCCTTCATCACTTTTTTGACCCTAGGTTTTGGTTTAAGTAGAGGAGGCACCACAATGTCCCGAACACTTGCCTGATTTTGTGCAGCAGTAGTATCAATACTCACATCTATACTTTTTGCTCCACTGGCTCCACGTTTAACATTTGAGTCACATCCTTTAATTTCTTTGATTCCATCTTCTTTCTTCTCTGTGTTTTCGCTGTTGATGTCCCGTGTTAGCGAATCAAAAGAAATGATTTTCCTTCGATGAGCAGTTCCTTGGAGAGAGGTACTTTCTTCCAATACCACACTTTGACCAACGCCTCCCTTGTTTGCTGCTATCTTTGCTCGATTCACTTGCTGCACGAATTCGGGAATCATCAAATAATTTGTTCGCAGAAACTCGTCTACAGTTGGTCTAGCGGTAGCTGAATACAAAGGTGACATGCAGTGACAATTACTCGAAGAATTTGAATTAGAAGGAACAGGTTGGGGCCATGGCTCTTCACTCAGAGGAGGTGGAGATGGAGCTCTGGAGAAAAGATCTTTTAGCGACATTTTACGGATCGAAAATCTCTAATATCGTGGAATATTTAGGTGCAAAAAAACGTACGATTGTCGTTCACTTCGTCCACCATCTTTGATTTTAACGCTGACCAGTAACGAACGAGTACTCGCACACGTGCTTGATTGTTAGTTTCTTGACCAGTTCCTCTTCTAAAGTGGATCAATAACAAACTTTACTGGTTTTTCTTCAAACTTAAACTACAGATTAAAATGAGTGGCGGAGTTTACGGAGGAGGTAATGTTTGTAATATTTTGGACTAATTCTTGCATATTTCAATTTTGCTGGTCTGAGAAAAACTCTTTCGTTTCAGACGAAGTTGGCGCGATCGTGTTCGACATTGGCGCCCATTCAGTTCGAGCCGGTTATGCTGGTGAAGATTGTCCTAAGGTAACATAATTTTTGAGTTACAGTCAGAATTCTAGCGACTATTTTCCCTGGTTTGCCAAGAATATGCAGCAATTCATTACATATTATAAGCTATCCATGGAGTAACTTAGCTTTGTAGATGTGTGATCGCAAGTTTGTATTTGATTAATGTTCATTAATAAGGTTACAATTCCAGATATGATCGTCATGTTTCTTCTCTTTACAACGATCACATATATAAAGGAGTAATCAGGTGATGAGAATAACCAAACCTATCAACCAGAGTGTTATCTTGATGCAACATCAAATTCTCTCAACCGACACACAAAGGAAAGTGTTAATTATATAAGAGAGAATTGACAATTAGATCTTGGGATTTGAATCATAGATTGTGTTGTATCTACCGTTTGATTTGATACTTTACTTAATTGGCTCTTTGTCTTCTCAACAGTTTGATTACTGTACTTCCTGGAATAAGCGCTCTCCCTTTCATAAGTGCTCTCCCCCATATAAGTGCCCATTCCTCAGGTCACAACATCAAACATGCACCTCCTCAAATAAGTGTTCTTCCTCCCTCACCTAACCTAGTAGGGATACAAGGAAATTCTCTTTCTTTGAGACCCAGGGGCCATCAGGCAATTTCTAGTCATCAACTGACAGCCCTTGAGTCTCTGAGAATGGGAAACCTGTTTCTATTGCCACTTTATTTATAACTTTTTAAGCCTCAACTGGAGCAGAATCAGTTCAGGTTAGTAATTTCTTAACAAGTGTCCCTCCTTCCCACTAATTAAGTGCCCTCCTTCCGGTAAATGCCCCCTTCTTTCAGCCAACATTTTAAATAAGTGCCTAGGTGCTTGTTCAAGGAAACACTGTATTAAAGAAATAAAAAATGCACTCAATGCATTGTTGAGTTATTTAAGCATGTGGGATTTTTTAAGAACAAAAGAGAAGTGTGGAGAAGCATGAGCCTAAGGTGAGTGCTTCTTGCACTTCTCGAGTTTTATTAAAAATTACCAGGTGCTTATATAACTCAACAGTGCTCAAGGAACAAATTTTTTATTTCTTGTAAAAAATGTATCAAAAATTGCGCATGCTCATAACGATGACGTAGGCTGCATGTATATCTCAACAGTGCACTCATGTGATGTAAGGTGTGTGCTTTATAGAAATATAATGAACTCGTTCTGACCAATCACAGCATACACATTTCTCTGAACATTTTATAATTATTTGTTCTCAATTTTTCACCCTTCAAAGTTGCTACATAATTGATGCAGCAGCATGTCATGTTTGCCTGATGTTGTTATCTCTTGGAAGTCCATCCCTTCCTTTTGACGATCTATTTAGTTAGCAACATGTATGTGTACATAGCTCACTAAGAAAGAGTGTCATTTTGATGTTCCAATGTCTTCTTTTCTTTTTGTTAAAGTATGACATCCCGACACATGTAGGAACCTTAGAAGAGGAAGTCAAAGATGAAATTATGGAAACTGATGCTCCTCCTGAAGGTATTTATTAACCCTTTAACTTCCAGAAGTGATTAACATGTAACTTCTCCCTATAATATCCATAGATTATCCAGCAAACAGGTAGCGAGAATACTCAAACTCATCAGTTACAAGATATTACCTGGATCAAACACCAAAATCTTGTAACCAATTTACAAGGATATGTGTAGCAGCCAGAGGGGAGAAATAACAATCAGATCTTGAGAGTTAAAGGGTTAATAATTATTATTATCACTTAGTTGGGTATTGTGACACATTTTGTGTGCTTAATGGAAATTTTGGTTGTTCACACGCTGGCATGATAGTTCAGAGTGTTTTTGTCTCTATATTTTTTCCAGTTTCTCAATGCCCTCCAAAGTGATAATAATATTATTACAGTCTTTGTTCTTGGGCATAAAATGTTCAAGGCCCTCCTCAGAGTCATTTTAATCCTCACCTAGCAGTTCAGGCTGAAATTACTCAGAGTCAGGCCCAAAACATGTTAATGCCTGTTAATGTACTGTAAACTCTATGGTTTTATCAACTTAAGTTAAAAAACAACATTGTGCTGTAAATAAACCTAATGTCAATTGAAACTGGTCTGCATTGTTTATAACATTGGGACTGTTATGAAAACAAATGCATCTGCAAAAAATTTTACCTCAAAGAAATTTGTTATGTTGGGGAACAGGTTAGTCTGAGGTGGGGGAAAAAAAGTGTGCTCTCTTTCCAGAAATGACCCACACTGAGCTTCTAGTTTGGACCATCCCAAGACCTCAGTCAGTTTTTCCCAATACAAACCAACCAGCCAGAAACTCTCTTTCCAAAATTTTCTCCTCTTCAATTGTGGTTGTATCTTTTGTTAAAGTTTACTTTAATTTGTTTTATTTCTGTTACTCTCCTTGCAGAGAAGCCAAAACTTCCAGAGAAAAAATACTACATTGACACCAATTACATTCATCTTCCTAAAGAGAACATGGAAATTATTAATCCAGTTAAGGATGGAATGAGTAAGTACAAAGAAGAGACAGTAGTTTTACACAATAGTCCATCTTACAGTTGGATGCTTAGTTGCCAAGCCTTCGAACAGAAGAGAGACTAAGGGTGACTTTGTAACAATATAATTATGATACAAACATTGCTGCTTTTAAAATAAGTTACTTTGTTATCATGCTTACTAGATACTGGTCTCTAACACAACAAGGTCACCTTCAGCTTCTCTCCAAATTAAAGGCTTGGCAACTAAGTACACAACTGTAAAATGCCCTCTTGAGAAAATCACCAATGTGGGTGATTTTTGGCCCTGTTGTTGATATCTGTCTGATATGAGCTAGCTTGAAGGTGGGATTTTAAGAGCTTCTGTTTGGTTCACCTCATGAGTGTTTTCTGTTTATTTATTTATGTATTTTTTTGTTTTTAATTGATTATTTTGTCAAATGCAGTTGAAGATTGGGATACATTTGAGAAACTGCTGGACTATATGTATGCGAAGGACATCAAGTCTGAATCAGCTCTTCACCCTGTGGTTATGTCAGAAGCTTCAGTAAGTCAGATTGCTGTGTACATTTTGGTATTGGTGATATATGTATGTACCAAATGGTTTTGGTTGTAAAAACTGAAGTCACTTTGTACATGAAGTTAAGGGATTCATTGACAAAGTACTGTTTTAATTAAGACCTTAAGGGTTGGGGGGTGGCTTCTAAATTTTTAGGGCTTTTAGAGAGTGGAGGCTTATCTATGATGGAGTGGTGGGGGTAGACTCATCGGTGTAATAAGCAAGTTGGAAGATTCCCATTGAGGAGTCCTGATAAAGATATTGTGTTATTGAGGGCTCAATTTGCAACCTGTTTTATATGATGTGAATTGTCTCTCAGATTAAATGACATCCATAGAAGGAGTGCATTTCTTTTTATTGAAACCTCTCATTTTAAATGGAACCTACACTTATTATCCAACTACATGTAAACTAAGTAGTGTACAAACAACCTGTGAGTTTAGTACAAATATCATGCGATATTTGGACTGTTGGTTATTTTGTAGAGTGAAATATCCTGAGTATTTAACCATCAGCTGCGTATGGTACACTTCTCTATCTATTTTGCTTTTCCTGCCTTTTAAGAAATGGGCATTATATCAAGCAGTTGAATTATAAATAACATATCAGATGTTTTGGGGGGTGAGGGTGTGGTTAGGTTTGTAAGAGAGGGAGTGGCTGAACAGAGCACTAACAGTATATCGTACTCTTGGATTATTGCACCAATTGTTCAGAGTTACTATAAAAGCAGTTATTTATTGTTTGCATTTCAGTTGTCAACTCTACATAAAGAGAAAGTTACCAAATTTTACTTGTTTGACTTCAGTACTTTTACCAACATTATTTCTTCTTGGCTTCATTTTTTTTTTTTCTCAGTGGAATGTACGTGCAAAGAGAGAGAAACTTACAGAACTGATGTTTGAAAAATATAACATTCCAGCATTCTTTCTGTGCAAAAGTGCAGTGCTCACAGCATTTGCAAATGGTAGATCCACCGGACTAGTTATAGATTCTGGAGCAACACAGACCAGTGCTGTGCCTGTTCATGATGGATATGTCCTTCAACAAGCAATTGTCAAGTCTCCCTTAGCTGGGGACTTCATCACTGCTCAGTGCCGACAGATGTTTGAAGAACAGAATATTGAAATTGTCCCACCTTACCTCATTGCTAGTAAGGTAAATGAAAAACTCAGTTACCATAATTATGAAGCTTTAAGTGACTAGGAGGCTTTTTATTTTGAGGGCAAAAGTCAGGTGTTTTAATAAAAGCCAGTGGTTACAGGCAGTCTACAGCCACCCATAAGATCTCTCACTGGAGTTTGTTTAGCCTGCAAGCAAGCTCTGTTGTTTGTGTTCCACCTTACAACACAGACACCTTCTACACCATTTGAAGGCACTTATGGAAAAACCCCTGAAAGGTTTTGGGTCATTCAAATTTTTTTCCTCTTTGGTAATGAGAACAACTTCCAAATGCTGCAAATTTCAATAAAATAGAATTTCGTTTGAGGTATTTGTTAGTACAGTTGAATTAAAACTCCTTTTATTTTAGCAACTAAGTATGTTTAATTATTTTATGGGATATGCTCTTTCTGATGTTTATTTA